GCTCTTGAGATAAGGGGAAAGGGTGATTCTACTATGGACACCAAGAATTAAGTGACTGGTTTGTGGCAAGGCAATGAAAACTGGAGGTGAAATGTCTTCTCTAGGATAAAAAGAGGTGACACAGTGTAAGAACTACTGATGGCTGGATGGTAAAAACAACTTTTAAATGACACAAACAAGAAATTGAATCATGTGCAGTTACGATCAATTAACTGAAAATGCATTAATGAAATTTGATCCTCCAGAGCAGCTTCTGTCAAAAGTATTTAACTTATTTCTTCTTTGGGAAACCTCCCAAATAACATGAAACAAATCAATATTTGTATTTGTGCAGTTTCCTACAGTGTTTATGAGCACATTTATTACTTCATACAGGAAAAATAGTAATGAGTTTTAGTTTTTCTCCTTCACAAAAATACCATACCAGTGTTTTCATGATATATCTTCCCTGCCTAAGAAAAGCTATCTGATGCTCTTGCTAAAAGAATCAAGTTCTTTCACCTCTTCTTTCAGGAGGTCCAGAAGATACTTGAGTGATTTGTACCTCACATTACTTTTTGCATAAGCATTGTCAACATGGTTTGAAACAAATGATGCTTTACATAATAAGCACCTGAGATATGGATGTAATTCTGCCAAATATGCAGGTGTTTGAGTTCTATTTTCCACCTTTTCTCAATATGTGGCCAAATCCTTCCAAATTCTTATTAAAATGGCAAGCGTTTTAAAAATTTAATTGCATAATAAAAGACATAGATGAGGAAATTTCAACTATTGCAACTGGTTCCAGTTGAACTTCATCTTTTCTAACACCACATATCAGAGCATTATTCAAAACATATCATTTGCATGGAAGGTCATCAACCAGATTAAAAATACTACAGACTTCCCTGGGTTTCAACACAGATGCATTCAGGAACTCCCTTGGTAACATACACATTCAGTTCTGAAGTTGGTTAATTGCTTTAAACTGCATAAAAGAAAGCATTGCAATGAGTAAAAGCATGAAGATATCAGACTGGTTAACCAAACCACTACTTAATGATTTCACTAAAATCTTTAAAGAACAACAGAATAACGTAACTTATTCTTCTTAGCTTTTTCATGTGTTGTATTCGAAGTTCTTCAAGTGGCAGATCTCAAAGAGCCAGGAGTAGGTAAACTGTTCCAGTCTTCTACACACACGGATGACAATGAACATGCAGTCCAAAATTTAAATCATACATCTCTTCAGAGCTTGAAGGAACTTAAGAGGCTGGTGAGATTTGATTTATTTAAAGGTTCCAATAGTAAGCTGGATGGTCTCTAGATTTTAATACTGTTAGACTCACTTAGCAGCCGAGCTCAGTGAACTTAAGAGGACAGAGGAGACTTCTGCTGCAGGCTGGTGGGCCAGAAAATATCTGTATAGTCTGCAAAGGTTAGCACATCCTATCACAATACACAGGTACAAAAAAAATGTTTATGCATAGGCACTTGCTCATTTAATTCTAAATTAAAACCAACCTACTAACCAAAAGCTAACAAAAATCCCCAATGTAACATAGGGCTCAAAAATTCACAGGAAGTTGTGAATTCAATTAAGTTACTTATTTTTTGGGAACTGTCACTAAATCTTTTCAAAAACTGGGAGAAGGCTATGCCCAAAGTTTCAAGCTGAGCATAAAATTATACACAAAGACAAATTTTTGTTGCAAATATTTACTCAAAAAGTAATAATTTACAGCAGTGCTTTAACAGCTGTTCAAAACATTTAACATTCATTAAAAACAAAACTGTAAGTCAAAAGCACATTCTGAATGTTTCAAATGGAGCAATGAAATCAAAAGAGCAAGCTACAGTTAATCATATGCATTCCTAAATCTAGCTAACTAGAAGACAAAAATAACCTCCAAAACCAAAAAAACCAAACCAAAACCAGCAGCCATCTTTCTGAACATAACTTAGACTACAAAAAGTCCTGAAATTGAACTGTACAATTCTACTCTATATGCCCTTGTGTCCTATTTTTAAGTTAGCCAGTAGCAGCTGCAAAATGGCAGAATGCATGCCAGGTGGTGTTTCCAGTTTGGAGTTTTCATTATTTTTGCTTAAAACCATTTTTACATTAAACCATACTTTGGTGTGACTTACAGACCATTCCTATGGGTCTACAGCTAAGAATAATTAAACCAATGATAAAAGCCTAACAGCTACAGTACTTTTAGTCCTACTTTATACAGTTATGTTCGGTATTTCTGCACAGCCTGCACAGTGAAAACCCCACAAATATAAATTTTTATTGTAATAATTTCACTTTCATTGAAAGTTTATTAAGGTAAGTTTACAGCCTGGCAGGATTACACCTGTACAGAGGTGCACAAATGAATATACTTCTGTTTACGTGCTTTTACAGACAGGAATGTGACACCAAGTCCCGAGGTTTATATTTACCAAAACTATCAGCAGACCAATAACCTTCATTACAAGTGTGCTCCACATCAGCATCAGAAGTGAATTCCTACTCAATCCCCAGTTCAATGATATTCACACTAAAGAACTTAGAAAAATACTTTCTGGGTGAACAAGTCACCTTATCCTGGGCTAGTTAACTATTAAAAAATTAGAATTTATACCTCTTTTCAAGTATCAATCTAATAATATATCACATCCAAGAGACAGGAAGATATATTTTAACATACCTTTTCTGAAGCTTAATGAATTCAGTCATACATACACATACATGCTACCTCCATATGCAAACTTCCCTTTGGTGTCTCTTTCTCTTCTCCTCCCTTTAAAAATTTTTAGTTTTAGCATCCATGAGCACACTCATCAGGAAAGGTCCATAGTGTTCTTACCATAGTTTAAAACAAACAATAAAAACACACTTTCAGCTTGCTTCATTTTCATCTGTCTTGTTTGCAGTCGTTTCCATTCTGCTGGGATTGCTTTCTCTAGAAGTCTCATCTGTTTGTTCCACGAGCTGTCCCGATGTCTTGGATGAAGGTGCGACGTTACCTTTTTGGAGAATTTCAGTAGCTTCATGCTCTAGTACTTCTGATGGAGTTAAAGGCTCCAAATGAATACTGCCTTGTTCACTTATGTCTGAACTAACAGATTCGGGTTCATCCCTCTTTCTCAGGAACTGCTCAAAGCTGACATCTTCACCCAACGTCAGCTTTAAGTCCCTCACGTTCTTTGCTGAAAGCGCAGTTTCATCCAAGGGACGCGCTTTAGTCTGCTCATCCGGGACAGTGGCAGCTGAACTTTGGCACATTTTCACCTCACTTTCATCATGAACACATTTTTGTTTCTCATCTACTAACTGTTTGTTATTAGCTGAATCACAGTAGGGTCTTTTCTCATGCAAAGAATTCTTTGAGCTGTTGCCAGGGAGTTCCAAAGTCGGAACATTTTCTGTATTTGACAGCGATGAGTCTTCACTGTTTTCAACGGATGCAACTTTTTTGGTTTGATTTCTACTGCATTCTTTTGTTTCATCTGAAGAGTCATGATCTTGTTTGCTGAAAAACAAACCAAGTTATTTTTAGATATTATTTTTATAATTTTATGTTATAAATAAAATAAAGCAATGCTTGGCTATACTCTGGAAAGTGACACACAGAAGGGTATTAAAGATTTCTTCTTTGGGATTTGTCATGAGGCTTCCTAGCAAGAAATGCAAAATTCAATTAACAGCTGCATTTTTCTTATCTAGTTACAAACTAAGCTTTGCATTTAGCAGTCAATTAATAGTCTAGTTCTTGCATTTCAGCTCCAGAAAGGAAGGTTGCCTTTGTGTGACACACAGAATTTCCCAAAATAACACCTGTAGTTCCTCTACCTGCACAGCCTTTTTGACACAGATGCAGATAAAATTGCTTTATACCTTTCTACCACCAACTGACTCTGCAATACTCATGAGAAAAGAGCTAACAGCTGGAAATATAAATTAACAAATCCAAAATTTGAGAAATCACAATCTGGATTCACTGAAAAAGGGATCTGTGAAGCAGCATTTTCAGTCACCTTTCAGAGTAAAACTGTGTTTATAAAGAGGAAATACAGAAATAGAGAAGTTCATTTTTTTCTGTAAAGATTAAATCTGGCAAAAGTTTAATGCAATTGTTAATCAATCTAAAGTTTTTCAGAATGATAAGCAGATTGAATTACCTAAAGTGATGATGGTAACAGACAACATAAAGTGTGGGGGAGAGGAAAAGAAAAGTTGGAAGAACAATAATTTGTCTGATTTCAGATATAAATTCTATATAGAAAGTGAAACTAAGAGCAAATTCTCCCAAATTAACCTTCAAAATTTAAATTTAAAGTAACAATCTGATCAGTAACATGCAGAAAAAAGCTGTGAGAAACACAGTATCACCAAATATCTCATTAATCAAAATGTATTTTTATTTTATTTTGGAAAGTTTTAAGAAGTTTTAAAAAGTGGTTTTAAAGATGTTTTGGCTAAAGCCACTCAAATTCTGTAAGCAATTCGCAGTTCAGAACTCTTAAAAGGAAGAACCAACTCCTTGCTACTATGTTTTTCATATATTTTCAAGCTGAAAACCTACATATCTTCTACTCATCCTTTAAATTTAATTAAAAGGAATTTAAAACAATTCCAGTGATTCACTTATATGATAAATGATACTGAGTTCTACAGAAAATGGTTATTCTGGAAAAGGAGCTACAAGCATTCAGAAATCCATTTTCAAGTTGTACTTTCATTTAAGTAAACTAATCCATGAATATTCCATTTCCTACTTCTACTCTAGGTCAGAGGAATAGTTTGAGCAGGAATAAGAGGCTGTTGGGATATCCTTCAGCAGTGACATTTTGGTGGTCACTGGGGTAGTTACAGGAATCTTTTCATCCTGTTACACTGACTTTTCATTTGTTATAAGGAATGAACTCAAGAGACAGGCCAAACTCTTTACCAAAATATAACCTGCATTTGCTGCTTTTGTCAAACAGAAATGTTAGGGTTTGGGGTTTTTTCTCATTTAGTGGAATAGCTAAAGAGTAGATGACATTCTCTAATATACAATTTATCTATCCAAGCTCTTGTCTCTCAAATGTCTAGAAAGAAAAGGGAAAAAAAAAAGGTAATATTGGAGGGAAAACTCAAGACTAAGTTCCAGTACAAAAGCCAATGCTCAGAAGCACCCCTCAGTTGAGGCTAACATAACTGGTTTGTCATAACTGTTCCTGATTTCTTCATCTATTGCAGAGAAACACTTACATTATACAGAGCCATATAAACACAAGTTCAATATTTAGAATTGTTTTCATATGAAAATCTAGTCAACTCTTCATGAAACACTGCACACACATAAGACCTTTAGCTGCTATTTTTCAACAAGCAGCTTGAGGGTAAGATGTAGCTGCAGAGCTAACAGGCACAGTATTATGTTTTATGTGGAAAGTTTTGAACATAGATACGCAAAAAGAAACAAAAAATGTTTTAAATAAAGGGATGCCTAATAACTAATTGTCCCACAAGGAACAGTGTTTCCACACTGAAAAACCCAGATGGAATACATGCATGTGTATACACACAGAGACAAAATTCACATCAAGAAACTCCTCCAAGGACAAATATGCCCTTAACATATAAAACTGATCACAATCTTCAATTTCTAGCAACCAAAATCCCAGCTTCATCCACCCAGCCCCTTTTTCTCACTCTTTTGGCAAAACACAGGGAGGAACAAGTGGTAGGGGAAGGAAAGAAATACATAGACACATATGGTTGTGCAACAATCACATCATAAAAACAATCATTCACAAACAACAATGATCTTTCAGATTGCTAAGCACAACAATAAGTTCCTTTACATAGAACACTTCTCCAAAGAAATAATTTGCCTCTGCAGTGAGCTGCAGATGAATCAACAGACCCTAGCAATTATGATTATCTAAAATACCACACTAAATGAAAAATCATATAATAGTTCAAGAATTCATTCTGTTAGTATGTCAGTAGTTGAAAAAGAAAAGTCTTCTATCCAGTACTAGCAACTAAAGGTACTCTTAGTATTATGTGTGCCAATAGGACTGGTTACAGTGTAAGAAAACTAAAAATTCAGCCACAAAAATAGAATAGCATGTGAGAAAATATTAACAGCTGTATTAGACAGAAAAGGGGATGTCAGTGAACAGTTGGAGTTTAAAAGCTGACTACTTCAATAATTGGTTTAATGAAACCAATGAGTCCTGGTTCATGACCTGATCACCAAGTATGGGATATATTAATGAACTGCTGGCCACAGAGTCCATCTGAAATCAGGGTTTACAATAAGACCACTCCAAGGCAGCAGCACAAACCACAGCTCTGAATGTGAGAGATGAGTCTGCCAAGTACAAACACACCCACATCAGGATACAGAAGCTTAAAAATAAAAGCAATTTCGTTTTCTTTTTTCTCATTGTTCAGAAAATGCAAGATTTTGGTGCCAAGTGAGGCAGAGGAAAGCTAGGCTTTTATTACCTGATGTTTCAAAATCCTACTAACTCAAGCTTTTTTGCTGCATTATTTAGAGTATTTTATTATGTTGGTTGTTTCATATTAGGATTTTAAAAACAGTTCAGGGAAAAATCCTACAGCAAGGAAGAAAAAACCCCAACCCTATAAAACAAGTGACATTTACACATCAGCATACAGAGTAATCGCAAAGTGTGTGCAAACACTCTCTTCAGACTGTGGCAAAGGATTCTCCAGGTACCAAAACTTGTATTACAGCTGCATTTACATTAACAGTTTGGTGTGATTAATTCCTTATTGCTCCCACACAAACAGTCTGGTTTACAAGGCAGTACTGGGGCATGCAAACTACATTTCTTTTTTTGAGGAAAATGAACGGGAAGCTCTGATCCCCAAGTGCTCCAACCCCTAATGGAGCTGAGTCCTCCAGAGCCCAAACCAACGTGGGATGTTGCAGGCAGCTCTGCACGAGTGCACAGCATGAGCAGTGTCCAGACAACCTGAATCTGCTCTAAAATAACATCACTGAGCCTCAAAGCAGTGACAAGATGCAGCATTTGCAGTGCCAGCTGCTTTCATCTACTGATCTGCTCCTGAGGCACTAATTTATTGATAATATCAACATAACTACCCTGGGTTAATATGAGAGAAAAGTGTGAGGACTGAGAATCTCCAGTGCTAGAGCTACAAGACTGCAAAAGTCTGTCTTAAAGGCTATGAAACAGTGAAAAGTTTCCATCAGAAATCACAGAAGAGATTTATATATTTAAATTATTTCTGTCTACTTAGACACAAGGATAGGAAGAGTAGTATATCATAATCAACTAGAATTACAGTGACCATTTACTAATCCATAGCCTAAAGACAGAAATAACTTCTATCACCTGAACCACTTAGTCTCAATTATTAAGCAAGCATTTCAAGTGAAGGCAGAATTCCAAATAATTTGATCCACACTGTGTATGACAGAATAAAGTGATGGAGCAGACAGAGTTACTCTGAAAGCAGTTAGCCTTTTTTTTTTTTTCTTTAGAGGCACTATAAATGCCTATATAACAAATCACAATCAAGTTTTGACTAAGTTTGTAAAGGTGAAATTTGTACCAACAGTTGTGAAAGATCACTAACTGGGATAATATATTTCAGGCTGTTGAATCTGGAGTAATAGGAAGTACAAGTCTATCCACAATATGTGCCAATAAAAGGTGTAAAATTTCAATTCTTTCCCCAGACTGACATAACTTAAGTGTAGAGCTGTAATTATTAGTTAATCAACAACTGCACATATTTGCTCTGCTAAGAATTGTTTGAGTATGCTTTCCATAAAAGACACAGGTTTTTAAAGACCTAGAGAAATAGACAAGAATTAACATTTTATACTGTGTTTTAAAATTGTTTCCCAACTGCCCCAGTAATACTGTTAACTTACAGACAATATGATTAAAGTTTATTTTAACCATCTGGTCAATTTATCTAATATCCTATAAATTTTGACTAATTTGCTGTTTAAGCATTACTTACAATGTGTTTTGACACTTGGAACCTAAATTCTCCATGTCTTATTGAGAAAGTACCTTACAACTGCCATTGAACATTTTCTGCCATAGGAAACGTTATGAAAATACTAATCAAACATTTTTTGCCCAGTTACCTGATAAATAACACAGCATGTGTTATTTTATGTACCTGATTTCAAGATGCAGCTGATCATTGTATTTACCTTTCAAAAGTTGGTGTTTCTGTTTTTCCTTCAGATAAACTAGGTCTTGAAATTTTCTGTAATAATTAATGATATTTCTTTTATTTTACATTCATGAGCAGCTGATGACAATATAAAGTTGTAGAAATATTTTCACACTGCTATTCCCATGAATCTATTACGTAGCAAAGACTGAACATAGATCTCAGTAAAGATGTTTCCAAATAGTCTTCCAAATTTAAAAAAAAAAAAAAAATCACCAAAAATCCACGGAAAAAAAGCAAAACTAGAAAGCAACTATTGTAGGCTTGTCCATAAACATGTAATTTCATTTATATCTTAGTGAATAGGATGAAAACTAAGTCTGGACAGTTTTATATTTGGACAGAAAAAAATATCTGAACTAAACTTGTGTTTTGCTAGCACAAAAACATATTGAAGACTCAAGAGAATGCTTGTCACAGAAGAAACTTTGGAATCTCTACTGAAACTTATGCAACGAAATCAACTTTTAAACTCTAAACAATATGAACAAATTAATTTTTTCCTTCAATTTTTAGAACAGCAGAAAAGCATGTGAATGAAAACTGCCATTCAGAAACAGCCAACCAGTCTTCTAAAAGCATCTTATACACTACAGGGCATCTTACTTATATATTATTCTTATTTAGGAAACACTAAGTGCATAAGTGACAAAATTAGACTTTTTTATTTCTGTTTCAATATAACTAAGTTAATTTTAGTTCAAAAATAGGAGAGGTCACTGTATATAAAGATGAACATGTAAAGTTATTATTTGTATCACCTTGTATTTAAAACTATATAAACAATACTACATACTTTCAGCATGGTAATTTTTCCTCACAGAACTGGTATATTTTGCTTCAATGAGGCCAAATGACACAGCAAATATCTGAAAATTGTATGACAAAGTTCAGCGTATATATTTTAAAATACTCTTTGCAATATGGCTGTTGTACCTTGTCCCATTTCTGTCACACAAAACCCAAACATACATGAGCCATGCTAAGAAACGATTTCCAAGTCAGAATTATTGCCCTCTACCTTCTCCTCTCTTCTTCCCTGACTGAGCAGTTTGCCCTTGAGAACTACCAGCAGAGAAACATTTCTTGACTTATCTCTTGTGTTGTATTTTTAAACTACCTGATTATCCTTTTGTATTTTCAGTTCTGCTGTGTATTCCAAAAACCAGCCAAAATGTCAAGCATCTGGCTGTAGCTAAGTACCAGGCATTCCATGGCACCTTGGAAAAAACAAACCAGAGGCTCCTCATGACCCAGTCATTGACAGAGAGCAGCTCACTGTTCTGAAAGGTCTTGGTTCAGGTGCTCTGTGAGCTCAGTTAACATCAAAGCAGCTTTTGCTGTTCTGTGTTCTCCCATCTTTTCCAAATGTAAGGGCTACTGTATGGGGTTTGGGTTTTGTTATGTTTTTATTTGGGTTTAGAAAGAGGACGTTGCATTTTTTGTTTTACTTTTTAAATGAAATCAAGTATTATGGAACACAATTCTGTGGAGTAAAAATGCAGATTTGACATCTTCCATTAATGCTGAAAAATAGTATGGGATAAAAAAGGAAAACTAAGAGAAAACACATGTGAAGTGGTAATGGAATCTATGGAAAAGGTGTGACTCTGGAAGAGAATCTTTCTTAACACTTCTGAATGAAAATGAATGGTCTTCTCATTTCTACAAAACCACTGCTTCTATTAAACTCAAACCCTGTGTATTTTGGAAAGCAGTGTTACAAGACAAATCTGTCCTAGGTCTGAGGACTTCTCCCACTCTCTTACCATCTGGGATTTCTGTAACAAGACTGCTTTTTCTGAAGGGCAACAAAAAAACAACTACTGTAAAAAAACAAATCTGTAAAATCAGAATCCACAAATGATACTTCTGAATAAAAGCTAAGAATGTGTACTGTGAGATCATTTGGATTCTGACAGGCCTCCAAAAATCACGGTTCAGAGCCAATATTAATCCAGATCTCACACTTAGCAATTTCCAGGTTCCCTGAATATGAAAATACATAAGGACAGCAAACCATTCCTTCATTGGAGGCTGGCATGCAGCTCAGCCCAAGGGACTGACTATAAACTACAAACTGCACGTGTCTGGTGTGGCAGCCTCACTGAAGCTGTGCTCTGACACTGCTCAGCTTTCCACAATAAGACACAAAGTGGATTCTCACACTGTGCAGATCCTCTAACCACCATTATCAGTAAATTGACTTGGATCTTCACACTAGATACAAAGTTCAGAGATACAGTTGCACTATGTGTAGAAAAGACAAGACATTGCTTTACTCCCAACTTAGCTTCTTTCTCTCTAATGGAGATTTTGGTGTGGATAATGAATTAAAATTCAATGTTTTAGAATACTGTATGGTCAAAATAGAAATAAGGATGAGGATACATACAGTTAGAAAGCAATTTGGTCATCTGAAACCCATTTTTAAAGTTGATACTTATGCTGAGCTTAAATACACTTCACTTCAGAATTTTGAAGTGCTTTATTGGGTGTACAGAAATTATAAGATAAACTTGTTTCATGTAAGCTCTTCCAGTTATCTTGCCTCAGGAAAAGCAGGAACCAACAGTCTGAAGACAGTGAGCATTGCTTTCATTTGAATTCTAGCAGAGGAATGATCTCCTCACCAGAAAGGCTTTTTAAACCGTGACTACGGTATTTTAAGACCTGAAATGCTAAATTAAGTGCACACAGCTACCTGACAAAAACATTCCACAATACAAGCTCAGTTTTCTTTCCTTTGTCTACCATAACCCAAATACCCAGAACAGAGCTGTAGTTTACTTTAGGACAACTGTAAAATATTGCAGCTGACCTCCAACTACTATCTGGAGGAAATGCTTCCCACAGAATACCTTTAGGGGCACAGTCTATACATTAGATGAGCTATAAATTATTTAAATTTATTGACTTTGAAAACCACATTAATTAAACAGCTTATCACAACATCACCAAAATTGATTTTCTGTGTTTCCAAAAGAAAATGTTATCGCAGAGATAGCAAGAAGTATCTCCTACAAACTTGTTAAGTCATCAGTTCTAACAAAATCTAACCTTTCAAAGGTTTCTAAAAAAAAAAAAAGAACAACCAAACAAACCCCTCAAAAATGCTTATGCCTATATCTTCTTTGTTGATGCTGCATTAAAGGCAAATTTAATCTGCTGAAGTATGAAGTGCTGCCTCTATTATATTTGGATAATGTTATTAATCATAAATTAAATTATTCACAACCTCAGCAAGTCTTAATGGTTGTCTACAGGGTGCAAAATACTTGACATAAAAAACAGCTTTACCACTTAAATTTTATGAAAACTGTATACTAATATTAGATTGATCAACCACATGTATTTTCCTAAATCCAAAAAAGCTGTCTAAACCCAAACTTTTAAAAGAATTTAAGCATATAGTATCAGCACACAATGAATATTTCCTAGCATTCATCTTCTAGCAGCTAACCAGCATTTTGAACTGCAGCATAAACAATCACACATTTACATTTTACATTTATTAAAAATTACATTTATTAATCTGTAACAATAGAGGCAAAAGAGGCAATAGAGGGCAAAAATATATACAAAAAAAGGATTGGTTTCAGTAGCACTGTAAAAGTACTCTTCTAATTACCAGAAAAATAATCAAGATAAATCAAATGAGAACACTTTTTTTTGGATCAAAACTTATAATACTCTGAAGTATTTAATCACAGTAGCCACACCACTATAAGATGATGCAACACCAAATATTTGGCTTTACTGTTTAATGATTTATACACAAGAACTTAAATATGTTGGAAACAGCCATTTGTCATAAAGCAGTCACTCCTGTCATTACAAAGTCATTCTTGTTAGACTCACTAACTTAGACACAAATAGACCAGATATTGCATATCCAAGGACAAAAGATACTGTTCTTGTCTCAATAAATTAAAGTTTTGCCACTAAATTAAATGTGTGTGAATGGGATCCAGTATCTCTGGATTATTTTAAATCCATTATAAATGTTATTTTACATGATCAAATTTGAGAGATTGTGTTCACATTTTATAGCTTATAGAGTAAATTCCAACAGGCTCATTTATGTTGGTTTGGAAACGAGCAGAGTTTGTAACATTTTGTGGCAACCACATCTTTGTTATTATGGTTTACTTTGGATTCATGATGTATACTCTCAACCATAATTTTGTTTAGGAATACTTTTAGAAAGCAGTTCCTTCCAATTTGTAATTGGCAGAAGTTGCATGAATAGACACTAAACCACAGAAAATTATCACCTGATAATTTTCACCTGTGATGTTCCCAACACTTTTATGATACAAGAAATCTTCAATCCCATGGGTCTCAAACATAACAAAGGCAGCACTTTCTTACATTTGTGAAGTCACAGTGCTTCTGAAAAGAACATTATGAAAAGAAAACAAAGATTGTGACCACCTCCAGTAAGTGCAGCCTGTTGGTCCAACAGTTTTGAGCAACTCTGAAACCTTTCTAGAACTCTCCAAAGATTCTTCACTCTACATGAACTTCTAGTTAAGAAAAATGAAAAAATGCCCTTTAATTGTCAATCCTTCAAAAAAATTGCCCATAACAAAGGAGCAGCTGAGCACAAATTTTCACCTTAAGATAGCCAACAGCTATAAAACCAAAGAGACTCAGAGAGTAAAAGTCAAGTAAGAACATTAATTTAGACACCTTGAAGTCTATATTCAGTTTGATCTGAAACTTTATTTGATAGATGAAGAGACACCTAGGACTAATGGAAGAGATCTGGAGTCAGTAACAAAAGCTAGACTCAAAAACGCAGTTAATAAACACAAATAGGAGTGTCCTCATTTCTGAAATTCAGTCTCATTGCTTGCCCTGCTGTCACACAATAAAATTGTATATATTTGCACACACATACAGCTCAAATCATGAGCCACCATCTTCCCAGTAATCTCTCATGTTTTCTTACAACCAAAGGCTCACTGGGTAAGCAGAACAAACTCAGCTGGAATCTTTTGCCAAACGTTTCTTTTTCTCCACACTTAACCAAAAGTAACCTTTTCTGGGATGACTATAGGTTCAAGAATTTCTAGAAATCAAGGCTCAGGGTATCTTCCAGACACTCACCTGAATCATACACAGCATTAAAAAATACAAATCTATTTACACCCAAAAGAATGTAAAGGTCATTGGGTTTGGGATATTTAGCTGTTGGCTTTTTTTTTTAATTAGTCCTATCTTCTAGCAGAAATATCCTATTTTGGCAGATGCAACTTTAAATGCTGCACAGTTACATTTAACAGAAAAACAGAAACAAACATTTACTTTGTTTCTAAATAAAGGTCAGACATAACTGGCTGGTCACGCAGTGACACTCAATGTCCTAAAAATATTAAGAGAGAGAGATTGAGGTACGTACAAATGAAATCTTCATTTTTTGACCATAAGCTAATCTGGTTATATCATGCATATTCATGCTATGCCCTTGCAGATATGGTCCAATATGTTGCATTATTCATGTAAATTGTTGGGATCATAAGAGATTTAATACTAAGTAAGGAAGGTTTATTTTAATGATTTAGCAGTGCTTTTATGAGTTTTCCACATTAGTAACTTTTCCAAGATCCTCACAAAAATGGAAACAAGATATCACAAGGCCAGTTGATTCTACATGAACCATTTCCACAAACCTCTCACATCTGTAAGTACCCTATTGGTTCAAAATGTAAGTTTGAAACTTCCATTTCCATAGCAAAGCTGCAAAAGAACCAAAGGATAATATTCCAAATAAGCATTCAGAAGACATGGTATTTATATAAACTTCAAATCCAAGTGTTGATCTAGTATTACTTCTGGGAAATTAGAGAATGTTTCTGAAAGCCACAAAAACCTGCAATCACATTCCATTCTTCTTGTTGTTGGAAACCTGAACGAAAGTGAAATATGAATTCAACTTCCTCTGAAATGACCAGCATGTTCACAATGAAAACACAAATCCACTAGGCTTTTTTGAATGCTGTTGTGTCAAAACAGAATTAAGCCCTGCAAGAAAAACCTGTAGTAGGTAAGTGATGCTTGAAGCTGAATAGCAGCATTCAAGATGGAACACAGCTTCTGCCAGAAGGAAAAACGGTTGCAAAAAGAGCAGGACTTCAGAGTACTGAGTAAGTGTGCAGATGCTCAATCACAAAATACACACAAGAGACAATGGATGACAAGATCCTTGCCATTATTAGCAACACTACAACAGCTGCAGAAGGTCACTATCACCAGACCTGTGACTGAGTACTAAAAGTCAAGAGGACAAAAAAAAAAAAAAAAAACGGGTCAAAATGAATTAATCCCAAAGAATCTGATTATTCAGAAAAAGAAGTGCTGTAAATCAAGAACAGCTTGCATTCACCAAAACTGAACTCTTACAACTAGGAAGTTGTATCAGTGACTGATCCTTAAGTGAGGTAAGCTTTATCTATTATGCTGCTTGCAGGCTAGGGAATGAGAGATTCAACCAAAACATATCCACTGTAAACAGGAGGCTGAGTTTGGAGGAACATCAGAAGTTCATCATGGCAAAAGCAAAGCTCATCACAGATCCTGATGGATAAATTTGCCATAGATAACCTAGAACTGAAGATGAAATAAGAAGCAGAAAAATCAAAAGCAGCAAATGTCCCAGCAGCTCGAGTAGAGCATCCTTGAAGATGGAGATGATACCAAAAGAACAAGGTGTGAATGAACTGGAACTGTAGCTGCTCCACCCTCAGAAACAAGGCTCAATTAATGTATTGTACTTCCATAACATGCTTTTTTCCTCTCACAGTATTTTGGAGCAAAAAGAAGCTTAGCTACCAGAGAGCAAAGCAGCTAATAAATTCTTTTGGCCAAGACTCAGTTTATGTAGTTACATGCAACAGAAGACATTCAAAGCATATTTTGCCACTATATACCATAAAGTCACTGGCAGAAAAAAATGTAACTTACTTGAATATTAAATAGATCAGGACTTGTATGCTTTAGCGAACACCCAAAAAGAACAACAAAGCCTTTTAGTTTCACCAGGTGGGATCAAGTTCTGAACAAAATGAGCTTTGACATCAGCCCATATATATCACCATTTACTCACTACTCTAGTTTGGGATGACACTGCTAGACTGGAGCAGGGAAGAAACGCTGCACATGAGCAGCAAAGAAATACTGCATCGTGTAAGTGAAACTCCTGGTAAGCCTCTCTTCAACGGAGGACAGCTCCCAAAAAGCTGCCAATCAATGCTGCAAATCAGAGAACATTATCAAAAAAGGCCTTTGACTACAATACTGGGAGAAAAGACCAGACCTGCTGTCTAAAAGATGCAAGAAGAGAATACCACAGCTTCAATGCTTGAAGAAAAAGGAGAAGGTCTGGTCAGATCCTTGTCTGCTTACATACCAAAATAATCCCAAGCTGGACTGGGTTCAATTTTCTGGTCCACAATGATGTATCAGTGAGCCAAGGCAGTATAGGATACCTGCTCACTCTCAACTGCCCTGCAACAAAAATGTCTGCTGTCAGTTCATTTAAAAATATGTTAATGGTTGTGCAAAGCAGAGAGTTGAGCAATAGAAGAATATTCACATAGTATTAAATCTTACTTTTTCAGCACAAGGTGGTTTATTTCACCAAATAAACAAAGAGACTTATGTAGAGGAAAAATTTAAAAAACAAATTCTGCTGGAACATCCCCAGCTAGGTTATCTGTATTACTAATGGCAGGATTCTGGTCCAAAGACAGGCTCTGTAACAACACACAGAGTTCATGGAACATGTCTGATCATTAGCAATAAAGATGAGTTTTAAAACACATAGAGACAATACAATATATAATAAAAGACACCAAAAGATACCACGTGAGAGATGCAAGAGAAGATCCAAAAGTGTTCAAGATTCTAATTGAGTCACTGTTTCCAATGATGAAGTGATTCTGAAGAGCCCCATAAACGAGTCATTGAATTATAGGTCAAAGAGTTGGAAGAAACATTCAGAGATCATTGAGAAACTATACAGAAGTTATGAATATTGCCTACAAGTTCCTCTTCTTCCAAAGCAACCAAAGAGTGTCCCACTAAGAATAAGCCCACAAAAAGATGAACATTTTTGTTTGTACTCTGTACAGCAAATTATGAATTAAAACATCTGCTACACAGGTATACTCATACTCTTCAGTTTAGCAATGATATATTCTTGTCCAAAGTATTAGAGGACTAGCATATGGAACAGGACAAGATTTACTGAGATTAATGAAGTCTGACAGTTTCAAAAAGCACCATCATGGATTTTGTATCACTTCATGTATAACTAATTTTATGTCAATATCAGAACTCTCAAAAATAAAGGCTATCTGCATCTGTCCTACTCAAACATCTTGCAGAAACAAATCTGCAGATAATCTTGACATTACTTCAAATCTTTTCAGTGCTCACCCATCTGCTTCTGAGTAATACATATATATCCATATTTCCAACATGCTTACATATTTCCATATGACTTTGTAATGTATTCAAGAGAGTAAGATCCTTTTGCAATACTGACAACAGCCTGCCACAGCTGTATTAGTGTATAAGTTGTACATCTTCAGCCACCATTCAACACATCTATAACCTTTCCTTCTATACACTTCAGCAAGTACTAATTCAACACCTAATGCCAGCTCCAAATACACAAGCTAAAGTTTCCACAAGTATCATAGCTCAACACTTTATTTTGTTATTGTCTGAGTTCCACTGACAGCTAAACTACTAGAGGACTCCCCTTACTAGCCACTTTATGGAAACTAAGAGAGAAAATGCTTAATAAATATTAAATAATCTATTTGGGATATCCCCAAAACTCAATGAAATCTGATTTATGCTTAGAGGCCTAAGAACTTACTGCTTTGTTGGAAGAGTTCTCACCATGTATGAGACTATCTAAACTCCTTCTAGAATCCTACTAAAGGCTAGATGGACTCTATCAGGGTTAAACCATTTTCTTCTATATTTTAAAATATTTCCTTGCAGTCTAATTGACATTTTTGATTCTGTGTTCTGAAATGGTATGAAGAAAACACAAACGTTTGATTTAACTGACACACCTCTAAACCTTGAATTAAGGCATGAACAGGCTTAGACTATACTCAGCCTCAGAAACTGTTCCAGGATAATCAGGGAGGGTTTGACATGTCTGATTCTTTTAAGGTTTAAAAAACCCCAAACTAACACAATCTGAAACACAATCTTTAGAATACTGCAGGCTCTTTTTCAAATCCTTAAAAACCCCTGATTAATACATACTAGTTCTTTGAAAGTCAGAATAAAAAAAGCTAATTCAAAACAGCATGCCCTTGTCATATGACGAACATAATTTTTAAAATAATTCCTAAATGTTTTTAAATATTAAGACTGAATTTGTCTTACTTCAGTAAAGGACATTTCTTTTTGTATTCATATTACATAAAGAACATAAACCACTAATTTGATAAAGCTAGTATTAAGTAACAAAGTAACAATCTCATTGTATATAGACAGATCAGAATTGAGACGTTCCAATATTGCAACCATTATTTATGTCTCTCCAATCTGAACAAAAGCTTGATTTGTTTCAGGTGCAATAGGTAATTGTCTTATCTCTTCACTCTTGTAGTTATGGACATAAGATGAAAAAGCACTAGTACAGTAAAGGCCTGTTTAGTGTTCATCCATACATTTCAAATTCTATGGAATTCAAAAGAAACCCAAGTTCAAAGTGCAAATTTTGGCCATCTATCACTAAACAATAGAAAAAAAAACATTAAGCAGTAAAATAAAACTTACTGAGACACTTGTGCAGCAGTTGCATTATCTGTGGAAATTGAAAATAAAAACAAAGGATTTAATTAAGAATACTTTAAAATGTGGAAATACAAAAGAACTCACTGTTAAATGCAAGTACAGAAATAACACAACTCAAAATAGGACCGTGATAACACAAGACATCCACATATAAGTATTTATATACTGTAGAGAAAAGACCACATGTACTCACCTTTCTCTACAATAACTTGACAAGTATGAGTCTGGTTCTCACTCAGATGTGTGGCCATGTTATCCAAGCCAGAAACATCAGCCAGGAAATCACAGTTAAGACACACTACAGTCACACCTCTAGGAAATAAAAACCAAGAAGGAAGTGTAATTACAACATGGAAACACTTCTCTTAATTTAGAACAACTAGACAGACTAAAAAAACCAAAATTCAACTTCAGATGAGATGATTGTTTTTGTGAATCTTACTTTTTCTACTGCAACTAATATTAGGAAATTCCCACCAATGAGCAGGGCATCTCCATGCTGGATACAGCACAAAGAACATGACCTGAGACAGAAATTTATCTGTAGAGTATGTGTTTCTCTGTTTGAATGGTTGTTTTTTCTTTACCTAAACCCCTCCCCATTTTGCACCTTACAAATAATAAAAAAATAATAATTTTTAAGAAGTCAAAACTGCTCAGAATTAAGTTCACAAATGAGGACAAATAAGTATTTGTCACTGACCAGAACACTGCTATTGGAAAAGCTAATGGTTTTATTTCTCTGCTCTAAGTTGTGGAAATTCAAGAGGTTATAGTCTCAACTAAGTTATCAGTTCAACATCAGAAAGTAAAAACATAATGATCTGTAACTGAAAAAAGCTGAATTACCGTAGCTTTTCTGAATGCTTCTTAAAGATCCAAAATCTTTTACTTGGACGAGCACTGTGAAAACTAAATAGATGAAAACATTACCACTTAGACTGGTTTCCCTGGATACATTACTCCACATAACCCCTTCACTAGTCATGGTACTGCAATTTGTTTATGACAAAACATGACAATAGATGCCTAAGATACTGAACTGCATTATTCTTAAACATTCAATTACTTAAAGCTTATGAACTTGTGAATCTCAGCTCTAGTTTGAAACATTGGCTCCCTTGTAAATGAGTCTGGGAGGTGAAAAGCTTGGCTTACTGCACAGTCCTGCAATAATATACTGTTATTGCTTCCATCAGCAGTTCAGCTTTTGAAGAACCACGGCTGTAGCTATAGAGTACACCACAAAAGAGCTAAAATTTGGCTGAACTTGTGCTTCCTAAAGAGATGGCTTTCAATGAGAAATGAAATTTTCAGACAACCCGTAGGCTGTCTCTTATGCTGGTTAAGTACATGCCAACACTGTTCCCTCCCATGGAACACCGTGCAGGCAGCCAAGTACAAGCACTGCTCCTCCACAAACACTCTCCCTCTAACAGTCCTCCTCACCATCACCTGTTCATTACACTCACCAAAGAGGTGATGGTAGGTGCTGCAAAGGATCAGAGTGCATTAGTGCATCAAGGGGACAAAGGACAAAAGATGGGCAATTTTAATGCATGGATGAATTTGACCTGTCATCCAGACCACTGGGAACAATAGGAACAATCTACCTCTTTCCCCTTCCGGAGTAAATTTTTTCGTCTACAGTTGGAATTAAGCACATTATTTTATTATTTAAGCATGCAAATAATAGGTTACACACACAAAAGCATGCAAATGATTTCAGCCTAGGATTTCGATGAGCATTGAAATTAGTATGAATAGGCCAATATATATAAAGTATATCAAAAACTTAGGTCACAGATTCAAGAATTCTAGCGTTCACAAATGCCAAGGTATTTTCTATGTACATGAATTCAGAAAGAAAATAACATTCACTATTTCCCACAATACAGTTAGCTTCTTCAAAGCATAGGATGAACAAGTAGGATTTTATAATTTTGTTTTACTGTCCTGCTATGTGATCTGTATCTAATTATTGTATAGTGTAATTCTACAGCTCTGAACACGAGTGCCTTTGTTTTCCTAACAGGCTTTTTTCCAGCTGTCATCACCAATACCCTACTCTGCTCCACAACTGGTGACAAAATGAGATGTTGTTTCTAGGGGTGACTGGAAGTAGTGTAAGGAAAAGTATCCACTTGAGTTTGCTATTTGAGGCACCCTTTAAATCTGAGCACAGACTTCACTAGCAATAGCTGAGGCCTGTATGCATTCAGCACTTGTAAAATCAGATGAGCCACTCAATGGAAACCCAGAGAACATACAATAATTAGTCATTATTTGCCAAGTCAGGCTGAAGTGATTATTGAAGATCCCATAGACACTCTGAAGCAAAGGTAAAATACTGCCTGAATCACTGGATTTTTAAAGCCAAACAAGAATGTGGAGATTAAGCCTTTGCTAAAAAGTCAAGAATTCGACCTTACACATTTCCCCACCAGTCTGAAGATCCAGTTCAAAATTCACCTAACAAGCACTTCACACCTTACATGAACTTAGCAAGTATTCACTAAGCCAGTAAAACCTTGCAAGAGTTCTTACCTCATCATGTGATTCACATAGGCTTTGCTACAGCTGGTGCTGTATCTGCATAAACTACAGTGGACGTAAGCAGGAAAGTGACTTGCAAAATCTTTTATTTCTGAGAAACACTCAATGCATTTGTGAGATCCCAGGCGATGCCTAACAATAACATGAAAAAGGTACCAGTTAATAGTTACCTCTTCTGAAAGTGCTGCTATCTCAAACTTGTTTCTTTAAGTAAGTAGCAAGCTTGCCTATACTAGGGAAGAAATGAGAAACCTAAAATGCATCAACTAAATAATTTCACATTACACTAGCACAAATGAAGAAAACTTTGTTTTACTTGAACTATGATTTCATTATGATGCTAACTAAAAGTGCAAGTTAATGTAAGCATCTGTTATTGGCACTCCTGGAAACAAGAGATGATGCAGTAGATGAGAACCTCCAACTCCAGCTGCTGCTGCTGTCTCTATGCACTGGAGAAGTATTTCCAATAATCATTTCATTTATCCATCACAATGCACAGAAAAAGTCTTTGGCTTTTCAGTCACCCCAATATTACCCACAAGCTCTGAAACACCTACAAAGCAAGAATATAATCCTGCTCTTCCCCAGTTTTGCTGACTGCTTTTGGACCTTTCCCAGAGCTACACGCTGAGAAAGAAACTGGAGGGGTGACATCTTCCATGTTTGACAAAGAAAAATGCTAACTCATCATAAGCCACACAATTACACTCCAGTGTAATAAACAGTCCATAAAAGACCCATGAAAATAGTAACATAAGGACAGCAAACCCCAATAGATTGTGAAGATAAGGACAGCATTCTCCCAATAGCTTGCTTTTACTATTTTTTTATTAAATTAGCTCCCCAAAATGCAGTATCTCCTAGGACAGACAGGATTTAATCTTTTAACTCACAGGTTAGAAGGAGAAAAAAAAGAAAATAAAAGAGAAAAAAAGGAAAAAAAAAAAAAAGAAGGCTCCATGCAGAGAAAATTTCTAAATGTGGCACAGAGAAGTTTTCAGAACACTTCTTCTTCCATCATAAAGTAGTCCAAAACTGCTGAATGAAAACTCAGAATTACAACCACGGTACCAGTACGTGCAAAGTTTATGCATCTGCTTTCTTGGCAAACCTGAGGTGCCAGATCTCCTGTATTACAGCATTAAAGTTATTGAACAGTTATTTATGTTCAAAGTGTACTTATAGACAATTTTAATGCTAGTATTTTACCTTAGATTAGGAAATGCTATATTTGTAGGGTCTTTTTTTTTTCTGCTGTTCGTCCATGCATTTTGTTTCCTTGATGTAGACTGTTTTGATTTTCCTCTTGACTTATTTGTATTAGATTTGTTATGATTTTTAGTGGTTGCATTTTTAGCTTTAGGTGATAACTGAAATGTGGAACTGCTTGTACTAACAGAAGATACAGCTGATGATCCTGACTGATGAGATCCCAAAGATGCTCGAATAGTCACCTACAAGTATGAAATTAAAAAAAAACTTTTTAGATTTAAGCCCTCCAAGTTCCCACTTCCATTTGTCTTAAAAGTTTAAGCCACTTTATAGCACAAATAATAAGAAACTCTCCTAATTAAAGATTATTTCAAAGAATATAAATAAAATCCTGAAAATACTGCTGGACTAGAGTTAACCTCTAATAGCCAACAGGACACTTAAAAAGTTGGTTTAGGTCGAAATAGTTGGTCATGACAAAACACACTGTTTTCTTTCCAGAGCTGCAACTTGCTAGACCCTGCTTTCTTAAATGAAAAAAAAATGTAGCAGAAGTGTCAGGCCAATCAGCCCTACTAAGAAGAATATCAAACCATGCCATCAGTGCCTGGATTTAATAAAAAAGTCCTGGGCCTTGCTGCCTCATGATGAGCCAGTCTAGTCCCTTCAGATATGTTTGCTCCTCATCCTAGAACTCCAAGGAGTAATTCTGGTTTCTGACCTCTTATCTGGATTCTTGAACACCTTTGTTAAGCTCTCAAACGTGGTTTTGACTCACATGACTCCTAGTTATGCTTCTTACTCGTACTCCTAGTTTAGAAGCACCTCGTCTTTTGAATCCAGTTCCAGGTTTTTTATTATCATCTGCATCCCATCAAGGTCTACTAACATGAATTTTAACATAATCTAAGCCTTTATTATGTCATGAAGACCCTGAAATCTTTAACAAATTGAGGTATCATCACAGAATAAAGAATTGGTGCTGTACATTTCCTTCTGCCAAGGAAGACAACCAACAGCAACTGAAGTAATGTTGCCTTCCTGACTCTACAGCAAATGAACTTCAAAGAGCTGATCAAAATGTTAACTTTTCTTCTTCCTTGCAACTGAAAGGACTTATATTTTAATACTGTACTAAAAAAACTGTTGGAAAAAGTCACAAAATCTACAAGAAAATCCTAGTCCAAGTAGTTCCTTCTTAAGAAGTGGAAGAATGACTTAAAGAGAGCGTAAGTGTTCTGAGGGGACCCAAATTTTCCTCACATACCTTCAAAGGCTGAACCTAAAGAAGACCTGGTGAATCAAGATTTAAGCAAAGATATTCTATGCAGAAGTAGATATTGCATTTTTAAATGTTTTTTTTGCCACCACCTTCTATAAGTTGAAAATGTTTCACAAAAAATGACGCAGAAGCAGCTCCCAGCACAATGAAGCATAAATGGGAAGGGACAAACGAACCATCAGCTCCAGAAAGCAGCAACTCTGGCTGGATTACTGGCATGTGTGCAGGTGTATGGAACAATGGGACAGAAAGCAAAACCACACATCACCAGGAAAAAGCCATAAATTGTGCCCTGGTAATGCTTCAAACAGCAGCATTTTTAGAGTTTTAAAGGTGAGGAAGAAACCAAAACACAACACACAGAAAACAATACAACCTCAATACTTTGTTTAGGAAAACAAAGGAGAAAAGCACTTCTTTCTATATTACTCTTTTCTCTACCAGGACTTTTTTTTTTCCTTTGTCCCCTCAAGTCTTCCTGCATGAATACTCACCTTTGTTCCAGGAGGCAAGCCTTCTAATTGCTTGGGTTTCCTAAATGTTCGGTGATGCTGAGTCTTGTGATCCATTTTTTCTTTGCATGTTAAAAATTGCAGTCTGCATTTAGTGCAACGGTATATTCCCTTTTTCTTTTAAAGACAAATGACAATCTATAGTAAGCATGGATGGCATGACAAAACTCTAACCCTAGCTTGTCTCAAGCAATGCTCATGCAGTTCCTAAAACATCAACTAAAACAAATTTCTAATGCTATACAAAGACAAGATACTCTGTAGGAATTAGATACTTGCAAGGCAGTATGGTTACTAAGAGGAGGAATCAGATTCCCAGTTACAAGACACCTCATTATCTTTTTCTTTATTTGAAGTAGTGGCAGGTTTGATAGCAACCTCCAGAAAAGCAGAATCAAATCACTACAATGTAATGAAGAAACCACATAGCAAGAAGATTCTTCCAAGGATATTCAGAGATTATTTTAAACTGGGAACTGCTATCACACAAAAACAAGACAAAGTCTAACAATTCCCTTTGAGACTTCTGAAATTTTTCGAATGTACTCTTATTAATTATTCTTACCCAGTAACAACCATACAAATCAGTTGCATTTGTTTTTTCAGAGGGAGATTCCTTCCATGTGTTTAACATTTTTCTAGCATGAAGGATTGAAAAGACCTGCTTACCTGATGCCTCATGTAATGATGCATATATGGTGCTCCAATTTTAATAACTTTGAGGCAAAATGGGCATAGCAAATGTTTTGTGTTTTCATGAACCGTTCTAAAATGTGTTTCTACATCCGAAAAAGCCGAGGATCTGTAGCTGCACACCTAAAATAAGAAGTTTGACTTTTTTGTTACAAATTTACTGACAGTGAAGACAGGGGAGTGGTGCAATCTAAATACAGAAGTCACTCTGAGATACCTGGCAGACATACGGCATTTCACCTGGCTTATGATTGTCCTTCATATGTTGCAAAAGAACTTGCTCTGTTTCAAATGATAGTTCACAGATTTTACAGATCGCTAGAAAAATGAAAAACAAGAAAAAAGTAAAAATTTGGTTGCAGCTATATGTACATAAACTATAATGCATTTATACATTTCTATATAGATGTGAAACACATATATCACTAGAGGTAAAGCAATCTAATGATTATTCTACTCACTAAAAGAAATTCCCTGTAGCTTCAGAGAGCCAGGAAGGCAAATGCCTTAAACATGAAGTCTTAAAGTAAAGCTTTCAATTAAAAATAAATAAACAAACACAAAAATTGCAAGAAAAAATACCAAAAGCTTTTTAAAATACTTTTTTGCACATATATTGGCTCTCAAAAGAAAAACAAATTGCTCTTTTGCTATATTAAATCTCAAGATTATTGTTATTCAAGTATAATAGCTTTATTCAGAAATTACAATCCAGGAAATAAGAGTTGGGAAATGTCTAAAAATTTTGGCTTAGAAGACATAGAGTATGATAGGATCCAACTCACTGGACGACTCGTAAGGCGTGTGTGTGCTCTCGATGTGGCACTGCAGCTGGAACGGCGTGGGGAACTGGCGGTAACAGTGCTGGCAGGTGGTGTGGCTTTCCCAACTTTCATTGCTCTGCTTCTCAAGCTCCAAGTGATGTTTCATGTGGTTCATAAACCTTTAAATTATAGTGAACAGGTGCAAAAAACTACATTTTAACATTCCCTATACATATCACATGCAAGACGTACAAGAGCCTTTAGATATTTTACTCTGTAAGGACTTCTCAATTAAAAAAAAAAAGCTAAAAAAACAGGCAACAAATTTAAAGCTGACTAGAAATCTTGACGTTAATGAACACACATTAAGTCTAAAGCACGTTCTAAGGCTAAATAATCTATTACATTTCTCATGCTTGCTTAGACAAAATTCTTGCTATGAAATACAGGGAAATAAGTAAAGACAAGACCACATGAACTGTTCACACTTGATTCACTGCCAGCAATCCCAAAGCCTCATTTTGAAACGTGTAACTTTAGCTCTGCTGAAAACTATTAAATAGCAAGAATCTATCTGCAATTTGGACATGACAGCTTCTGTGAAACCATGGCAGGATTTCCAGGATTGTTCTGTGCCTAAGGCAGTGAGGCCTGATGTTGCATTGTGAAGGACAGTTACCAAAAATGCCACTCTGTAGCCAACATCAAAAGAGCAGGACAAACTGCTATGGTAGTACTGTAAGTTACCAGCTTTTCCTTATTAATCTGTCCACCTGTCTGCAGTAGGAACCTATTCTGGCTGACAAGTCCAGGCACCCATGACAGCATCAGCAGGTCACTGTTACTGGTGGAGCAGTACAAGGCCAGCTTAGCTGCAAACCCACTCCAGTTCAACTTCCAAAATTCCTGTTTTGAATGCACTTTATTTCAGTACAGCCAGAGGAACTATTAAATGGAAGTCTAAACTCACAAAAGTAATGTAGACTTCGGAACTGGAAAAAACAAATGAGCAAGGAAGAATAGTTTCTTGAGCTCAAGCTTGTACTATCATGCAGTTGCTTAAAAAAACAGAAACAAGAAAATGAGAAAAAGCCAACTGAGTCTATCCAGTTTGCTAAGCAGACGAAACTGACACTATTACTGCATAATGCCTTAAGAGAAAATTATTGCAATGGTATGTTCAACCACAGATCTCTTAAAGAAAGCAGGGATTACCATGATGGATCACTTTTTGCTTTTCTGAATTTCAGTCAAAAAACTTATACTTGAATTAGGAAAGTAAGATGTATTTATTTTGTCCACTATATATAAAGGTGCAAAATACACCTTGGAATAAAAATTCTTAAGTTATAGAATTATAGAATAAAGCTACAAGGTTACAGTCAAAATTAATATGGTTAAGGTCAATGCTACAGATATAAATAAAAAAAAAACCTCATACATTTTTAATGACCTGCTGTGGAACACATAGGCACCACAACACCAATTGCTTACAATATAATGCTGAGTAGAAAATAGCACCTATTTAATGATTAATAGCAAATGTCATTGTTTTAATTACAGAAAACTTGTTTTTTTCAATAATATGTGTCTAATGTTAGCATAAATCTGCTCATTTTAACTTGCAGACTGTGCCCTTTGAAACAATAGTCCATTTTTCAATTTTACATTCTGCTACTTCAGCTTCCCTTGAAGAGTGCATGTAAAAAAGTTCAGTGACCTTAACTTCCAGAGGAACGATGACACAAACTTGTCTACCTACTGAAACAGCTTACTGGGGTTTTATCAGCATTTGGAAGTAAAATTACTCCAACAAAATAACAGATGTTACATAAGTGAACTACTGACTATTAGTCATTTTGCATCCCTAAAGGGAATTAACACTCACATCTACCAATATTGCCATCAATCCAGATGGCAAATTGTAAAATCCTTTGTGTTGCCCTTTCTAACCCCAAAGTCCTACAACTGCTCTTATCAAAACTCTATGTTTATGTTAGACATCACAAAAATTCACTCTAATCTGCAAAAGATTCCAAGTTATGGCCATCAATGCAAAGTAAAAATTAATTCAATTTCTGTTTATCGCCCAATATTACCAGTTTCCAGTATGAAAGGAACTCTACTCCAGAGACACAAAACTTTAATGTATGAGACTACTATGGACTGTGAGTAATTAATAATTAAGGAAATGAGTTCAAATACCTTATGTTATTTTTAAGAACTTTCAGACAACTAATGCATTTAAATGTTGTATGAGTCTTCTGCTCCTGTTGTACTTGCTGGAGATCACCTTCATCCTTCCCATAATAAAAGTCATTAACTAACATAATCAGTTTTCCTTTCTCCGATTCAATGGCCTTGCTTGTTGTGCTCAAACACTCTGTTTTGACCACTCCCGGGAAAAAGTTATTTATCATATCTGGACAACAATACTGGATGGAAACAGGGAGAAGGGAAGAGACAGAGAAACAAAGGGATCAGTCTCAACAACCTGCATCAATGAGAACAGCATTTTAAAAACTGAAGGCACTAACGATTGTTAGATGCAAAGCTTCATTCTCTGACACACTGATCTTAGTAGTAGTCAATTTTGAACAGTGATTCATCTTTAACTAGTGTTTAAGTAATAAAGCACTATGTATTATACAACTGAAGATTCTCATAGGTTCATGTGAGGTAAATTGAATCAAAAAGAAAACAATGCTAGGTATTGCCTTTTTCTTGCAAAAAATTTCTATTTAATTTACATTTAATAGAAAGAAAGAAAAAAGCAGTTTTCAAGTATTTTGCTGATAAGCATAAGTTTATTGAGAACTTAATGGGAAATTTTGTCCTTTATTTCTTAGGGAACAATGTATGTTGAAACCTTCAAAAGTTCTTTCCAGCATTACTAAAAAAAAAAATCAAAATTCTGAGTCACATAATAGGCATTGTTCAAGCTTCTTTATGTTGAAGTATACATAAAGAATGCTGAGCCCAAGAGCCACCTCATGAAACTTATCACTTAAAAACTACAACATATTTCATAAAGAAGATGCTATGAAATTTCCAATAAAATTAGAATGTTTCAGAGGACAAATTTTTCAAATTTTTCTCCTGCCAAATAATGGTTCTTACCATGCAGGAGGGCTACTTTCCATAAGCCTACTAGTAAGGAGTAATTTCCTGCTGTGCAATTGTAACTCAGTATCCTAAGCAAACACACTTCTTCAATGGTTCCTTCATTCAGTTGATGTACTCAGTGCAAAAGCTATTCTGTACAAATAATGATTAGAAAAAGATAAAACCTTTGGATTTTTTCCCACTGCTATCTGTATTTCTTAATTATGTTTTGGAGCCAAAGAGGACAGCAATTACTGTTCAGGGCATTGTAACCCTGTAAATTAGAACCATCTGTGAGAAGAGTAACTCAGATCCTCACAATTTTGTGTTATACAGTAGCTGATACTCCTTTTTGTTTTGGATATTCACATTGTATACAGACTGAAAAGTCATTTCTCTGTCCCTGAAGTAAAATACACATGCCTGAGAATTGTGAGGATCTTCGCCAAATGATAAATATTGTCCAGGAAATAATGTTTCCAGAAATAGTAGTAAGTAGTTTCACAATCAGATGAAGTGATGCTCAGCTTCTGAGAGTTTTGTTTACCACAGTGTTTAAGTATGAACTACAAATGAAATTCTTCCCCACAGCTTAAAAACTTTTTATCTATTAAGTATCAAGCATTTTTATCTTACTGTATCAAGTGATACAGCAACATGAAACAGTAAGATTACACTGTCATCTTTGTGTCAGCTGCAATCTTCTACAGATGTGGGTCACCTGGCTGCCTATTCTCATAGGCACTTACATTCAGCACATTGGAAACATGAGGCAAAAAGTAGCAAGATTTAGAGCTCCCCTGCTTCTGTCTTGCTCTCCATGACTGCAAGACTTTGATCATTTGGCTCTGGCTGATAGAAGACAGAAGCCAAACCAGCTTCCTATCAAATCATGGCACTCTTCCATAACCCAAGAGAAGCCCACAAAGTTTGTTCTAATGCTTACCAGCCCCAAAATATTTTACCTTCATATGATTCTTTAGAGGATCCATAAGATTGAAATGTATATTACATTTTGGACAAGCACGTGGAAAAGGTCCTCCATTTTTAATCGATGCAGCATTTGTCCCTGTAAAATTTAAAACATATAAAGACTCAGAATTCACAAACAGAATACTCAATTTAGCAGTAATGGTAATATTCTAGTAAACTATGCTATTTCAAATGAAAACTATTGCTATCAACAAAGCTGCAGTAACCATAAGCAAGGCTTTACAACCATCTTTTAACTACTCTTCCTTTTTTCCAAACTGACGTGGAGTTTGTTCTGTTTGATATAGACTGATAAACAGATTTTACAAAATCTTATCAACAAACAAGTTAAAAATACATGAGGAGATGAAGCAGCATGACAGGGAGAAAGCATTCCTTCTGTGCACTACCAGCCAACCCCAGCCTGGATAGGATGGGCTTCTGATCTTTTTGTTTCACAAACTTTTCAAACAAACACCTAAAGCCTGATCACTACAATAGGGTTCAGATAACTGGTTTTGGAAAGGAATTTCACCATTTGATTCTTAATGATGAGGCTATTTCTCTATGGAGATTTGTTGGAATCTAGGCTTATTCAAATACTGCATTTCTGTTAAGCAAAGGTGTCTTTGGAGAATCTAGAGAATAAATCCTCTAAATTAATAATTACTCCCAATAATTAAAGGAAGTAATTCTTCTCTTATCAACATAAACGATTAACACCTTTTGAGCAGAAGAGAGATATTAAAGCTTTGCATTAGTTTAAATTTTAATGAATAAAGCCAAGCTTTGAGTTTTCTCCAAACTGTCAAAAAACGTCAGAGCAAGAGGTACTTTTCCAGATGAAATTCTCTTGCATTCTCAAATCATTCACAGATCTGGAGGATTTCATACTAAGTAAATTAAACACAGGAAACAGCATCTCACCAGTAGAGTCAACTGTTCCCTGTCAGGACTATGAAAAGATCTAATAAAAACAAAAATATAAATACAAGGGAAGGAGTAAGTGAGTTAAGAGATGACCATGCAACAGTGTTATGCATTTTTACACAAAAATAATCCTACCTGGACTATAAATAAACAGTAATTTTCCTTAAGATAACAGTTTTGTTTAGAATCATTATCAAGCAGAAAGTCCTTCACAAGAGTGGATGGCCATGTAAAAGATGTACCACAAAACAGTGCTGCAAGTCTTCACTATTACAATTGGTAAAACATTTTGACACATCACAGCTAAGTGCAAACTGAGTTGAAGAAAACCAGTTCTGCAGCAAAATCTTGTGTTCTGCAGTGCTTCAGTGCTGGATTCTGAGACAGATTAGAAATTGCTATGCCAGCAGGGGATGGCTTAGACACAAACTCAGCAAAATGAGGTTCTCAGTGAATATGATCTACTTCTGTTTTTCCTGAATTTAGCAAGATCCTTCAGTTATCTTTTTTCTTACAGGCTGCAGCACAATATCTATTTCACCGAAAGAGGGTGGAGGAAGTTTTTTTGCTGCAATGTTCATATTGTAGCCATGTCCTTCTGGCTGCTGGAAAGAGCAAACGAGCTCTAAAATAAGACATGCAAAAACCCCAGATCTGAAATTATTCCAAACAATCATTTTAACATTATAGGACAAAGAATGTTTTGCAAATGTCTCAAAGTCAGGAATAAATCCTGGCCTACTGCAATCCTAGAAAGTACCTTTTGGCTCAGGACAAAAATGCACCTAATGGTTAATACTCTGAAACAGTCAGAGTAGCTCTCTTCTTGCAGGGAAGGAAAAATCTTTCCAATAACATCCTTTCTTTGAAATTTACCTTCTCCCCTCCCAGTACTATTTCAAACTATCAGAAACACTGCTGGGAAAAGAAAAGAAGGAGAAAACTGCAAAACACACTTTGAAATAATTAGTCAAAGTACAGAATCACAAAATAATTTAGGTTGGACCTTGTGGAGGTGGTTTTGTGCAACTTCCCACTCAAAGCAAGTCTAATCTTACACTCAGAGCTATGTCCAGTCAACTTTGAATATATCCAAGGATGGGGATTCCACAATCTAAGTTGTTATTGTCTTGCCTGGCACTGCTAAAATTATTTTTTCCTTCATTTAATCAGAATTAGTTCACAAATTCAGCAGTCATAGAATTAAGACAAGAATTCTTTCAATCTTGATTTTTTGATTGGTTGTGTTTTGAAATTCCAACCCCCTGCGCCCTTCTTTGACATAGAAAATCTGAACTAAGAGAATGAGGTCAGGGGCATTTATTTTTATCATCTGTTGTTGAATGACTAATTATTGCTCTACTAAACAAAGGTCTAAAATTTGAACAGGTAATAACCTCAGGTAAATTAATTTGTAAAGGTATATAAATTCTTGCATAGAATAGTTATTTTTATTTTATGGCTTAAGAACCGTTACTTACACTGCCTTAAGAGCATTAAAAACACTGAGCAGCTGAAACACCAGAGATGTGTTAGCATTTTCCATGACACAGAGGCAGGAGTGCCAGCTAGACCATTCCATCTTGCTATTGTTTAAGCTGCATTTTGTGCCTGTGTGACTGTTGGACAGGTACCTGCAGGTGGAACAGCCAACTTGCTTCTAGCACCCAGCTCATTACACTTGGCCTGTTCTCGAGTTACACTGTAGCCCTCAAAAGTAACACGAGGTTTAGATACAAAATCACTCTCATTTAGACCTATAGCACTTTAATTAAAAAAACCTCATTTTTTCCCATTTTAATTAGAATACATTAGTAATGACTGCAATTTAGAGTCCACACAAAGCAGTTTTAAGATTTTCCTAAACTAATACGCCATACTGAAGTTAAGAAAATATCCAAATCAGACTGAAGGCCCAGGCCAGTGAAACAGGAAAGATTAAACACAAGAGATACAGAGTCACCTCTGAAACCCCAGTACATCATACTGTGGCCAGCTGAATTCAACTGGCCTACTTTTCACATCCTGACCCACTCTAATCTGAGACAAGGTGAGTTCCCAGTAAGAAAGTTAAGCTAAGCAGCTGGTCTCTGCAATGCCTGCTATTTGGAACAAGCTCTGCACTTCTAATGAAAAACACCTCTCCTTTTTTTCTGGTTCTGTGTTAATGCTGTTCTAGTTTGTTATAGAACTCTGTAAACTTCAGTTTGCATGCAAAACAAATGAAGTATTGTAAGTTCTAATGACCAAGCACAGCACATCTATCTGCCCTCCTCTGAAAGAACATTACACGTCCTTATGGTTTGCACTACTTCTTCAGAAGAAAATCACTAAAAACAAAAAAATCCTAAACAAAAAAAAAAGCACAAAAAACCCCCCAAAAAACCCTAAACAAAAAGAAACAAAAAAACAAACCAAGAAACCCTACCAAAAAAAAAAAAAATCCCCCAACAACTTTGAAATTCTGAGGTTTACTGTCTGATTAACATGCCCATAAACACTCAGCTCCATCCTGTCAGAAACCCATGTCTCTGTCACTGTAAGATTACCCCTGACCATATGAACTCAATACAGAGATCAGTCCTCAAGTAGACCTGAAAGACACAGCTGCAAACCAAGAATTCTGAAGCACCAGCACTGGTCTTGTAAACCTGCAAATAATCTTAAGACTATATAAAATATGTCAAAGGCTTCAGTTCTGGACACAAAGATCTAAGCTAAGGACATTCTGGTCTATCTTCTGCACCTCCCAGCCCCCCCTTCCCCCAGTGGTACAGCTCCTGGTGTCTCAACAAATTATTCAAACTTCTGACAAGAAACAGAACAGCCCTCTGGCACCCATAGCTGGGTTTGCTCAGTGGGAACTATCTAAACTTAGCCAACAGTCTGGAGAATCTCCCCATTCAATGCACATAGGCAGACTCCCAGCAGGGAATGCTGATGAACATCTTGGAGAACTCGCCATACTGTGCCTCATACATGGGAAAACATAATTCACTTGATATATAGATACCTAGCTATCCTAACATTCTCCTTTGTAGTACACCTTTCCTTCTTTTTGACATAAAAAAACATACTATAAGCTCAAATGTCTCACTCTATGCATTGTTTGCTTAAGGTTCATTCATTTATTCATTCAGAAAATGATCAGATTATTAATTAGATGCTATTACTTCCTAGGGGGTTTTAGTTTAGTTATACTCACCATATTAGGTATATGAGCTGCTTACATTGACATGTCTTGCTCGGCAAAGGCTTCCATAGAGCAGGCATGACCTTAGCATTCCTCTGCATCACTGAGGCTATTGGAGCATCTAGCCATCAACCTACAGCAGGAACTGCTGCTGCTCTACATTAAACTGTGTGTAACTGTGCAATGAGGGCCAGGGAAAAGACACAAGGTCTGACTGAGTTGTACAAAGATCTTTAGTAATGTATTTTATTTGACTGCTGAAAACCCAATTTGGAAACAAGGACCATTTTCATGTTAAAAAAACTGTTCATAATTCCAGTTTTAAAAGGTTAACATATCTGTGATAACAATTTTGAAGACTCTTTTATATATTTATAAAGGTGAGCAGTCTTAGGCCATACAACTCTAATTAGTAAATTCTCTTTTAGAAGAACTATAATAATACTAAGAAAATACACGTTTGCATTTTAGTTATGTTGTTTTTTCACATTAAAAAAAATTGGGCCTAGTTTGAAAACTAATCACAGCAACTTCAAGTATTATTTAACATTTTTCTGGTATAAATCAATCACCTCCTATCATGAAAGTGCCTCTCTCAGCAGGAGTGTGGACACAACAACACAAGAATTGTTTCAATCACCCACATTCCAGGCCAGTTTGTCCACTTTTCTATACAGCAGGTCACAGGGACTCCAAGTACTCAGGACAGCAGAGAAAAGCAGCAGCCAAAGAATTCTTGTTTGTTCACTTTGTGCTATTAGTGAACACTTCTGTAGCTACTACCCAGGAGCTGGGCTGTGCTCATACACACAAAATTCCTGGGTATCACATCCAAAATGGCAAGGAAGTAGCAAAGCACACTGGCTGCAGCACCACCTTGCTGACTGCTTCTGAACACACACCACCAATGTAAAAACCTTAATGCTGCTTTGTGCATCTGTGCTGGCTGGGCCTGATTTTATAAAAGATGGAAAAAGACATCAGAAATTGTAACCTAGAATAAAAGCACCAAATGCACTGTGATAACAGAACAGGCACATGAAAGCCAAATTGCTTCAGGCCTCTTAGTGCCCTGTCCTGCACTAACACCTCCCAACACCTCCCACTAATCTGGAGCTATGTATTCATGGCTGCAGTTCAGCCAACTCCACATGACAGGTCATTTGGTCACAGCAATTTCTCATTCCTCCAAGTGGGTGAAGTTTGTGGAAATGTTCTGCATATTCTCAGAGAGCAAGTTCCATCTGACCTGGAGTTCCCAAAGCCATTTACCCCAACATCACCACCTATTTAGCAGCCTAAGGAGGTGCTTGGTCAGTGTCCATCAGCAACCTGCCACTTGTCTGCTTAGACATCAAAAATAAGTATTTATACCATACTGAGCTATAAATTGTCTTTCATGATCCACTGTGCTTATTAAGCTACATTGTCCTGCAGAGTATCAAAGGCCAGTTGCCAAAAGGATTCTGCTTTTAAATACCATATTCCAGAATGTCTTGGGCCCACAGTGCACTGTATGAATTAGGGAATCATAGCACCAGCACAGGCAAGTATGCTTTGTCATACATCAACATGAATTTAATCTCATTACATGGCCTCCCTCACCAAGCAAGCCAAACCACAAAACACACAGATGCTTCCTTTCTGCAAAGTGAAATGTATCTTAAACTTGCCTACTGTGTCAAAAATATTCATGTTTGAATGCACAATAAAATTTTTATTTTAACTTTCAAATTCTATTGCCATCTTACAGAAATAAATATACATTAAGTATGGCACATTATAAATGCTTTGAATTGTAACCCTCAGTGCTTTTAAGCATTTTATTTTTTCTCTGTGAGAGACTAATACCAGTAGTTTTTAAGTAAGCAAACAAGTCTCCAAAGTTTAAAAAACCCAAACCTACAAACAATTAAACTTTAATACCTGTCCTTTGGAGAACAAGGGCTGGAATACTGAACCGTTTGCAAAAAACAAACTATTTCCTTACTTGACAAAAAGCTCTTTAACCCAAGACAAGAATGACACCAACAGAATGGCTGGACACAGGCAAGAAAATACACTGCTAACCCTTCACTGACACATTTCTGTATTTATCTAAAACTAAAAATGAAAAATCATCACATGAAGCTGAGCAAATAGCTGTCCCTCTGTCCTATGTGACTTCTTAGCATGACCAGTCAGGCCATTGACTGTACTTAAAACTTCAGGGAAGAATCAGAAGTCATTGTCACCCATAACTTATAGACAGAATAATGGGATTCTAGTGAGTTATTACAAAAGTACAATCCTTCAGAAAGGAGGAGAGAAGTCCCAAGTATTCTTAAGACTGAATACACTGCATGTTTCAAATCTGTATCTGCTGTGACACACACACACAAAAGGTGCTTTTTTGCTTCTTTTTAAGTAGATTAAATGTTCACAGCTGAAAAGCTAGTTGGAAAAAAAAAAGGTTTTATTGTCAAATTAGATACTCTATCCCTTCCCCTCCCTTTCAGGAATGATACTTTTGATCCCATGAACTCCAACTCCTGCATATAGCAGAAAACCAAGATCATCATCACAGGGAATCCATGCAGCAGACTCCATTTTCAGGCACTGTTGACAGCCCCTCTTTTGTTAACAGTCTTTTCCTATCCCCACCGGCCAAACAGTGAGGAGTACACTGAAAACAAACCTTTACCTGTCAATAAAGACACAGTGGATCTAGCAATGCTTTTTCCCATCTAAATGAGCATTAAAAGAAGACATCAGTTGATTTTAATGTCAGTCTAATGCACTGAAAAGCAACATCTGACAACACAACACTCCAAAGTTTATTCCATTAAACATTACACAGTGTTATGTACAGGGGGAAGAAAAAAGTAGCTATACTACACCCTAGAAATCCTATTTAAAGTTATAACCCAAAGATCTGAACTAGAGGTAAATGACATTAGGTTGTTTCTTTCTCTTATCAATTACTACAGTTATACCCACCTGTTACATTCACTGCTGGCCCAGTCTGGTACTGTGGAACTCCCGAGTTCTGTCTCACACCAAACAGTATACCAGATGTATTATCTGGTGCAGCTGGTGGAGAATCCATAATATAATCCTAATAAGATATTTTCAAGAGGGAAAAAAAATTTGAGGTTTAATATTTCTTTACTTGCACGCTTCAAAGGGTTTATTTTAAAAACATATGATTGCTTAAAAGTACTCAGAAGTACTCAGCTGAAAATCAAGCTCATCACAATCTCCCCAAAATAGTTTCTTTTGACATTTTAATAAAGTTGCAATTCTCATCAGTGCTTGTTAGGTTTCATAGCTGTGTATTCAGAATAGTAAAAACAATCCTAAAATCTGGGAAAGACCATTTAATGAAACATCAATAATCTGTTTGAATTACTAATTGCAAATGCTCTTGTTCAAAAATGTCTGATGATGTTTCAAATTATACTTGATTGTTAAAAAAAAGCCCAAAATTTTCATCCTTCAACCTAAACTCAGGCATTTGCCTCTTACTCCTGCATAACATCTTGCTGCATCTTAAAAGATCAAAAATCAGAACTCAAAAGCAGCACAAACTTATAGCAAGTAGAAACTTCTCAAAACAAGATGGTATTAAGATCAAATTCTACTAAGTGCTCAAACTTTAATGGAAGTAAGGGTTATCTATATCATCTTGACTGAGAAGGGCACTAAGTCCTGATAGCATCAAGGGTTTGTTGGGTTTTTTGTTTTTTTTTACATAGAGTAACTTTGGAAGAATTTCTGAAAATAATACAATCAAACCCTCTTTTCAAAGCCCAGCTAACCTAAAAGTTGGTTCATGTTTCTCAGCACCTTATTAAATTAAGTTTTGTGCATCTCCAAGTACAGGTATTACCATTCAGTTTAAAAAGTCTGCCCTTCAGTACCTATAATACATATAACCTAAAAAATTAAATAGTCCACATTTTTTGTCTCCAGCACTGAAAACTGTTAAAACACTTCCACTGATCTGTAACAGTAGTAACAGTTCCACTGTTACTAAAACATGTAACACTTGGAGGAAAAAGAAACATGAAATTCAGTTCTCTTTACAAATATCCAAAGTTAAGAGGGTGAGCTAGGGGAAACATTTTTTTCAATATACTGGTCACATTTTAATAGGCCATTCATCCTAGCACAATCTGAAACATGAGATATTTTCAGGAATAGCAATAAGCAGTTTAGAAAAAACATAATAGAGTTAGGTTCATTTTAAACACTAAGGTAGAAATGGAAAAGTATTGGCAATTTCAACTCTGATATAATTCAAATGGTCACACTTCATCAAGCTGTACTGTGAAACAAAAAATTAACAAAAGTAGAGCTATCTACCTAAAATTTAAAAATAAACAAATTTTAAAAACCATCCAATACACATACAGAGACCTTGTTAACAGTGTATCCATGTGACAAAGGCCAAATACATTTTGCTGAAAAGATCAAGCTCACAAACTCCTTCCCATTCACAGTGCTACTTATTTGAAAACATCCCTGTGGAAGTTAGCACATCTTTAACTACCACCATGTAAATCAAACTTAATGAAAAGAAATCTGAAGGAGCACAAGTACATTAACAGGTATGATCATCTTGTTTAGGAGTCAATATCAGAACAAAAAGAAAGATGCTGCTCCCCATCCTGCCTTTTTATTTTAAATCTCCCTAAATAAGACCCTTCAGACCTTAATAAAGAGCCACTCTTTCTTCTGGTGAGTCACCTAGTCCACTCTAACCAAATTAAAGATACATGTTCAGGAGTAGCTGTGGAAATAGTTACTGAGTTTCTGTGCTGTGTTTGCTACGAGTAAGAGCTACATGAGCAGCAGTCACAATGCAGCAGGTGTTACTGTAGTCACAACAGTTTCAGAAGAGGCACGGAAAGGATAGCAGAGCACCTCAGCCACACCTCAAGCACAACTAATGCTCTGGATAAACCTATGGCAGGCTCTGAGTGCACAGCCCTGTGCAAACCATTTCTATTTCAAATGTGACCAACACAACAGCTACATACGAACACTGCATCTCTTACTAGTCTGTAGTTTCTCTGTTTTATGTCCTGCCAATATTTTAATTTTCAACAAGATCATAGTTTGGGTACTTTGATGGCATGGATACATCTCCCCACTTTATACTAAACATATCCAGCAAGCAAAAAAAACATAATAACAGATACACTGAAAATTCATGACTTAATTTTCAAAAAGTCCTTTTCTTTGACAGGTATTATTTTAATGCAATTTGGCTCTGTCATTTTACATACAAAGCCCTCAATATTGTCCAATGCTTTAGAAAACAAAAATGTGTAAAGCTCAGAGATTATAAATCTACTGAGTTTACACATGCCCATTTATATAACTTAAAAAAAAAAAAAAAAAGTAAAAAAAACAAAACAGCTTTACCACACTGATGAAACAAAAACTAAACTAACATGTATAGATGCTTTAACATGCAGAAAGGCAAAACCCTACATCTTTGTAAGTTAATTTCCTTGAGCACAAGTGAAGAGAAGTATTACACCACTACTTTTAGTTTTCTAAGGGACTAGTGACAGTATTGGGTTCGTAGTCTGCATCCTAGATTTTCCACCGTGGACGCCTATATGGCAACTGGTAACTAAACCCATCCTGAAAAATTACAATGCATAGCACTGAACCTTTGTTCTCTCAAAATTACCTAGGAACAACCAGAACCCGAGCCACAGTGAGGAAAGTGCCTAGTAAGTAAAAGACAGAATTGGCTGTGGCTTAGTGGAGAGCATTCTGAGCACTGAATTACAGAACACTGTCAACCACTGAGACAAGTTTTTCTTAAAGAAGAGGATAGTCCTATGCTATGAAATGCAACAGTAGCTATGACTGAATTGAAATTGCTGTAAACTGTATGACTGAAATAAAAATCAACTCTGAATTTCTGGAACTGCATAACATTTAGTACACAGCATGTAGTACAGTAACTCAAAAAATAGACTGACTTACTTAGGAAGTCAGCGAATCAAGCTCATGATTGGAAAGGGGCATTTAAATTATAAAACTGGAATACCAAACATCGACAAGAGGTAAATTATAGACCTGTTGAGAAATTGAGGAGATATGTGTTTCAACCCAGTAGGCGATTGAAAGCAACCAGTTCCCACAGAAAATAATATTTTGGCATCCTAAGATTAAAAAATATTGCACTGTATTTAGAATGCAAAGGCAATCTGAAGGACATTCAGCTAGAAAGGGTCCTGTCAGTGTCTACTTATCCCTCACAGAGATCTTCACAACATGGTATTTTCAAAGGTAACTTGCAACACCTGGAAGCTGAAGATCCAAATGTCAAACACTTCCAGAAAAACTTATTTGAAGCTTTTACACTTAGGAAGAATCAAGTTGAGAAGAACTAGAACACGTGTGAACAAAAATGTCAAAGAAAGCCCAAGGCAGAAAATCATCACTATAAAACAGCAGCCCCCAGTGAAATAAACACTAGATGAAGAGCAGCTGAGGAATCCAAAAACCCTAAGGAGCTCCTGAATGAAGTAAATTTAGACTAAGGACATGAGCCAAAATACAGGTAGCACACATGTAACACAACAGCAAATGACATGTGGCAGGAGTGATTAAAAATCACAGAACTTTGCCCAAGACACTAAATTATTGTACCTCTCTAAAAAAAAGGCACAAACTTCTTCCTCAATATAAAGTCCAAGATCAAGTGGCAATAACAATATAAACAAGAAAACAAATTCTAGATAATGCTGAAACTAAAAATACAGCTGTGAATCTACAAGAGTTAAGCTAACGAGATGGAAGATGCACCATGTCTTAAGCAAGGAAAAAAAATGCAAATAGAAAACTCTTCTTAAAGGTATTCAAGAATTTCTTAACATCCAAAGAACAGGATGTTACATTTAAGAAAGCTTAAAAAAATTAAGGGCTCATGAAAACCACGATCAAAATGTCAACACTCTAAAGAAACTGTAAAACCATAACTTCAACAAACAGTGGAAACTTTAAGAGACCACAGAATCTGCACTGGATATCCCATACGAGGATGCATTACTTTCTAAAGCATGTCAGTCTAACCTGGAATAGACACAACTGATTAATACACGGTTAGAGAACCTTTTCCATGTCCTGTGTCAGGCTGCAACTTCTTCAGATAGCTGTTTGTTCTGCCATGGAAAAGCAACCTGCAGATTCTGACAAAGTAACACTATAAATACTTAACTAAAGCCTCACTGGTAACATAAGTACTCTATGAATGAGAAAGAAGTCTCACAAAAAGAAGTGCACTCTGCATGCTTTCTTTAAAACAAATCAATGTCTTGATGAGTTACATCCAGCTTGCTATACTCCATGGAAAAGCTCAGCTTTCCTAGCTCTGTTTACTCCGAGGTTTTGTCACAAAAACAATGTAGAAGCCCCTAACAGCTTTGTCTGTTAGGAAAAAAACGTGAGCCTGTGTGTGTGAGGGAAGTAAAGGAGAGGGCTTTCTTTTGCAGTAAAGATTCTGCAGGACATACTAACACACCTTTAGAGTATTTAATGAAGTATACTATGTCATCAGAAAACATATAAAAAATTCAGACTTGAAATATGTGTATAATCACGTAAAGTAGCAAACCCTTCTGTATTAATCTGTCCTGCTTCACAAAGAAAGATTTAAGATGACTAAAGAAGCAATCTAGATATCCTACTGATATCTGAATTTCTAATTATATCATTTCTTAGGCCTTCTTAACAGTGACAGACTTATTTAGCTAACCCATTTCACCAGACACATCCACAATTTCTCTGTGCAAACTATCAACCAACTGCTGAAGACTCAGAATTGGAAAATATGAATATTTTTCCTACTGAATTTGCCAAAGACTCAGCTAGCCAGTTGATAGGCAATGATTACATTGCTTTGTTTTAATTTTTTTTTCTTAAAATACATCCTCTCATTAGCAATTATTTAGCCACAAGTCCTGAGTAGAACACCCAATTCCATCCCACATGTTTTATCGGCCTAATTAACTCTGTTCATTCAGTCTGACTGCCCTGCTCAGCAAATGCAGAATCCATAAGGCTGCATGATTTTTATTACACCAAAAGACTAACAACTGAAACAACCTCAGGTATGTATATCTGCATGGACAATGGAGATGGTGCATACTGTCAGGCTTCATTTTAACCTGACAATAGTAGCTAATATTATAGGTACACATGGTCTGAACAGTTTCAGCATAAATGATTTTCAGTGAAGGTATTGCATCATAGTTTACCCCATACAAATATGGAATTTTAATCCTCATTCTTTCTCTCTCACATATGTCCAACAGATAAGGCAACAAAACAGCATCTAACTCAACTCGCTCATGACAACATTTTGGGGTTCTGTGGCAACCAGGAAGGTCTGTGACACATGACCTACGAGCACAATTTCCCTAGGCTTTTCAAACAAAACAAGTATGCTGCCAAATTGCTTCATGTGCAGATCGTGCAAATTTTGGTTGCTTAAACCTGTTTAACCTACTATTGTTTCACAATGCTTTCATTCATGTGCTACATGAATGAAAAAGAAAAACCCACTAAGGAACTACTACTACAGCATTCTCTTAAGAATCAAAAATCCCAAGGCAAGGCACTGTAAAAAACAGGTGGAAAATCCACAAAGGTGCTTTACACACTAAATTCAAGCTATTTAAAAATTTAATTGATTTGTCAATGCAGAGGATTCATCTCTGAGTAAAGAAATCTGCAAAATTTAGATAATTAATTTGCATCATCTCTCCACAGAACATAAAGAATCTAAACAGTATTAATTTGTCTAGTATTTTCATTTAATGCCATTTTACTCTTACTAAAGCTATCATCTTCGAGTCTTCCAAATTGGTATTTCCAAATACATACTTTCATTTACCAGTGAAAGGTTACGGGTCCTGGAATCTTTACAGCTTACAAAATGCCAGTCTATAATCTAGTCTAGATCTGTAAAACACTAGACTGAGCCAGTATGCTCTTCATTAATTTATTCAAAAGTAACCATACCTGTTACATTTTCAATGAACAAAGATTTACCTGATTGAGTATTACAGGCTGTTCTGTTGCAGTAGTCTCTGTCCCGGATACAGACTGAGCCACTACAGGAATTGTGATATTTCTTGATACTGGCTGTGTTGTCACAGGAATGGCTACAGGTCTGCTAACAGGCTGTGTTATTCCAGAACTTGACCCATGCATCTGCTGTGTTGACAAACATCCAGCAACTGGTCTCTGCAGTGTTTGTGAAGTTCCTGAAACATTCACTGCTACAGCCAAGGGCTCAACTGCCACCGAGCTGGTCACAGGTCTGGGCACAGTCTGAAAGACTGATGGGGCGGGCATGGCACCGGGGCTGGAGGCAGGCGTCACGTAATGCTGACTCTCAGACTTGAATGCAGTGACTGAACCTGTTGCAAAGATTCCCAAGTTATCTTTATGTAATTCTGCAGTCAAATGTTTCATAACTGTTATAGATTTTTTTTGTTAATTACCATATTAGGACAATAAAGTACCTCTACTGGGTGCACCATTCTGTATCCCCCTTCGTGGTGAGCTGAGGTTGACTCTGTTCAATATATCTGTCAAAAGTTACATTTATCTTAATTCCAAATAAATGAGTAGCTTCATTGCTTTTCAAATTTAAAACTGCATTCATATATACTAATTAAGCCAATTAGGATTTGGCTTATAAATTAAAATATTGTTTCTAAAACAAAAACCTGGCAAAACCAAGTAAGTGTAATTTGTACAAGTTAGGATATGTTCTTCCACTCTTCTTTGGTTAAGCTAGTTAACTTAACAATCTCAGTGATTATTTTCTTGAAGACAGATGAATACACACATAAGAGTACAAACAACAACAAAAAAGGACATTTCATTAACATTTAAATTTGCTGATTATAGTGCATTTATTTACATCTCTTTGCCAAATACTAGAACTGCTCTACATTAAAGGAAACATTTCCTCTAAACCAGTAATGACATAATTTGCTTCTGTATTAGCAAATAGCACTTACAAACTGGATTTTAGACTTCATGATATCCATTTTCCAGTGTGAAAGGAAAATTAACAGATCAGCAACCAAAGGAGTCATATTAGAACTGCATTACAAGAGCACTGATTTTCTTACATGTCTTACATGGTAGTCTGTGTCTAGAGTTCTAGCTCAGCAGGAGTACATACAATTTCTTAAATTTATATTTACTCCCTAACTAATGCCACTGATATTCCCCAACCTTTTATGTCTTAGTCTGGGGTTTCTCACAATTTCAGCAAGTTACAAAAATATTCATCAAATCAAAATACTTTTCTACTCCCTGATTCTCAATTCCATTAGTGTTGCTGACAAGTTGCTTGCTCTCACCTGTGAAAATATGCATATGAAGTTAGATTGATTTTCCAATATCAAACCCACAAGGCTTAAAGTAACTTCTCAAACCGGGGTCAAATTACATCAGGTTCTCGAACAATAGATCTCAGAGTACCTACACACTGTGTTTAATAACCTTAAGGCTATTTCCACCAACAATGGCTCATTAGTATACACCTCTCTAGGTGTTAAATAAATCTAATAGCAGTAGAGCTTAGAAGATCACAGCTTTCAACCTGTCACCTGCATTTAGATCACACTAATAAAAAAGCAGCTGCAACCAACAGATTCAAATAGGTTTGCTTTTTTTAAGATATGACAAAATTTGATGCTGATAGTAATACTATTTTTACTTCAACATAACAGTAACTACAAACAAGGATCTCATTATTTCAGTATTTAGCTGAACATATACATTTTGTGATTAACAAATCTATATCCCTCATATATGAATTCCAGTGTGAAATTAAACTAAAGCATCAGGTATCTACAAAAGAAAAGCTGTTCTAAAAGTTAGGTCTCACAAAGCACAGTCAAGACAGTCTGATGCGTGCATATTCTAAATTACAAAGGTAGATTTTACTGCTTTTAAAAAGAATATTTCAGGAAGCCAGTTATTTGAAATTATAAATTACATTTACACGACTCAACTGATTCATCATAGACTTGATGTGCATTTTCCCCTCCACAATCAAAGTGTTATTTGTCCTGTTTAGGTAAAACAGCACTGAAGCACAAGTATGTTGACATGCAGAATAACATTTTAAAGCAGTAACAAGGTACAGGTATATATCATTATGAAAAAGGAAGCAAGGACAGTAAGGGGTAACTGTAGGAAAAATGCGCAATTGCAGAAAAAGGTAAAGGGAACAAAGTGTGAACTACTTTTCATCTCAGCCAAAATAATCCTCCAGTACATCAGAAGGGACACTCGATTCTACACAACTCTCTAATAGCAAGTCAGAGTTGAGGCTTTAATGATTTCCTTCAAGTTTTCCACACAGTCTGTACAAAACCAAGTAATTGTACTGTCAGGAAAAGGTTAAGAAAATGCAATGCATTGTAGAAACTACACCTTTCAGAAAAATTAAGACCTATACCTGAGTTGCTATTTGTCATCCATTTTTCATGTGATCAGGTGCAAACAAACAGTGATAAGCAAAGCTGAGCTCACAGTATCTTGCCTATCACCTACAACAAACTGAAGCCTGACTACTGCCAGGTAGTACTACTTACAAGCCAGAGAAGAACTGAGGTCATTCTTCCATAGCTGTTTTTGATAGTGAAGTAGAAGATTAAAAAGAGAAAAGTTGAGGAAAGGAAAGGAAAAAAAAGCAACAAGTTACACCATAAGTGATTTTACTTGTGTTAGGACCAAGTATGGACAGCACTAGAATAAGAAGTGAATATTTTCAGTCTCTCTTACCGAAGTTCTTCAAGTTCACAGAATCATACCAAAATTATAGTTTTCACCTGAATTATTTCTGTCCTTTGACTAAAAAAAATCTTGAGGCTACAACAATTGCAATCAAATCTGGCGTACTTGCTGTTCCAAACAACATTATTATATACAAATATATATATATGTATATATATATATACACACACACACACGCCCTTATTAAGGATTGTGCCTTAATAGTTGTTCTATGCCATGATCTACTGCCAATGACCAACAGAAATCCAGAGGTCTCTGAACCTTCCAGAAAACAGTAAGGGTAATTTTCAGACATTCTTGAGGTTTGTAACTGCAGAAAACTTAGAGTAATTTTAAAATAGCCTTCAAAATTTTCAGAGCATCCAGAGTATTTTTTAAATACTCATTCTTAAAAAATATTTTTGGGTGAGAGTACTTAAATATCAGATTCAGTATCCCTTTCATATTTAAAATCATTTTTCCACTTCCTTAACCTAGTATAAGAAGCATTAAATTTACTATCCTATCTAGCAAAAAAAGTAATAGATGCAAGACGAAAGTATTGTGAACTAAAATGACTGAGCAGCTAATAACAGCTCTGAAATCCATGCAGCAGTGTGACAGACACCCTCATGCAACATTTTGTCGAGATCCTTCACTGCAAATTACACACCTCCAGAAAACTACTGTAGAAATCTTGGATACAAGCATTAGCAGAGATGAGGCAGAAACTGTGAGGAGTAAATCTCACCAGGCAAAGTCTTGGATATGTGACTGCTAGGGAAACCTTAGGTCACAGCTCTTAAAGATTGTCTACAAGATGGATACACACAAAAAGTTTCATTACTAAAGTTAATTAAAATAACAACAAAAAAAGGTCTTCTTTACTTACCTGTCAAATCTCAAGCAAAGGACAAACACGGAATCATCTCCTGCCGTCACAACCACCTAAACTCACTCCCTGCACTGCCTGCATTTAGGAGAAAACTAAAGAACTCCCTATTTCACAAAAGATGAGCAAATTTATCAACAAAAATCACCTACTTCACAGACAGGCTTTCAGTATTTTCATATTAATCACTTGGCAGATTATGCTTTTCTTATAGACACTTAAGACAGTTACCTTGGTTTTGTCAGAATTATGTCCACCAACAAATGAAATGAGGGGTGGAGAAAAAAAAAAACAACCACAACAGGAAGACTTTAATTCATGCACATTCTTTAGCAAGGAGACACTCCCAAATATATAACTAAATATTAGCTATACTGTAAGCAATTGCATGCATGATTTCAGCCTTATATATACTGGCTTTTAAACTGTCACTAACACTAAAACCTTCAAATGTCCTTATTTTGACCTCAGAGTTTTAAGGTTGGAGGTAACCAGACAGAATTTCTTAAGAATTCTGTTTTTCAGTAAGTCAGAGACATAAAGCTTTAAGATGTGGAATTTCTTAAGTTGTACTATTAAGAATTCTATACTTCCAAACAATTTAACTTTCTATATCTTGAAAGATCTGTTTTAAAATATCAAAAAGTGTTGTCTTACACGTAGTAGCTGGTTTTGAGCTGGAGATTTCCCCAACAAAGATTGGCTCATCATCATCATCGTCCTCATCATCCTCTTCTACTTCTCTCACTCTCTTTTGCCAGGGTTCTAGCTCCTCTTCTTCACATTCCATAAATAATTCTGCCATCTTGAGACTAGACAGTAAAAAAAACCCAAAAAATACACACATCAAAACATTCAGCAATTGCGTAAATCCTTCACTGTTCAGTAAGGAGTACTGCAGTTAATATTTTATAATTAGTAATAATTACTGCAATAACTCCCATAGAATGGTCTCCCTCCCCCCCCATGTTCTGTATAGATCAAACATGATCTGATACAGGAGATCTTCAAAGATTGATGCCATATCACCATTCTGACAGCCCAACGATATCCTCCACAGAGTTTAAGTTATTTTTGTACAAAACATCAGTAACTATCAGAGGAAGCCTCTGACACCACAGTGAAAGGTATCTTTTAAAAAAATACTCCTATTCCAGGTAAGTGATTCACAAGAAATGTGAAGGACCTTCTACAAAGCACAACTGAGTTAGTGAAACGCTGATTACAGCTTTATTCTCTTTGCACCTTAAAAAACCCAACACAAAACAAAACTCCAACTAAACTCACAGCCTGCCACAACCTCCCAAATTTTCTAAGATTTTTGCCACAGCTTCCCATATAGTCACATTTTCTTTAAACTCCAACAAAACCTACACAAAATTTCCAAAACCCCACAAAACAACATCAACAACAAGCAAGCCACCCACGAAAAAAACACTTCAAACAAAAAAACCTCCAAAACAGCAAAATCCCCAAGCCATATCTACAATGCATTGTATACTGTTTCCATTATTAATTAAGACTTGATCAAAATTTTGCATAGATCTCATTCGATGGAATCCCTCCTGCCTGTAGATGTTTTCTTGCAGTAAAAAAAGTCATGCACAAAAGTAGTAATGAAAAATATGTACCTTTTGGAATGAACCAAATTTACATCAACATCTCTTATCATAATTTGTCTTGTTTTTTACCTAAACAGAGATGGCAAATAGTTTTTTTCTTTCTTTTAACATTCTTTAACAAAATCTTGAAAGTATTTCTGAACAACAAAATAAATAAACTCTGCTATTTCTTTACACAGACTACCAATAATCTAAAAAGACTGCAGAAAAAATGAGTCTGTAACAACTTATCACAGGGGAGCAGACAATCACCCTCTACTTGTATGAGAATGGGACTGCTGGTGTTAGCACATGTTAGCACTTTTCTTGAGATGAAATAAAGTAGCAAAGTTGAACTTCTTTGCTTCCTCCATCAGCTTAGGGTGCTGAAGTCAGACACGCTGCTAGGAAACAAGAGAACAGGATACTAAACTTGACAGAGATGACATGGGCGTCATGCCAGGTCCTAGAAAGAGTATCAAGCCTAACTATAACTTTTTCTTCTCCGTAGGACATTCTTTAGAACACTTTTTTTTTTTTTTAAATAAGACAGTGGCAAAGTTTAACAGACTTCAAGACAAAATAAAATACTATTCCAGAGACTTATTTTATAAAACAGACAACATAAATGAAAAGTGTTTTTATTTTAAGAATTTCGTTTTACTTGACCTCAGGGAAAAAAAGTAATTATAAAATGTGCTCAGAGGATGCAATGCAGTTTGTACTAAAAAGACAAAATAAGCACAAGCAATGATATGTTAGCAGAATTCTAACAACACACATGTGATAACTTCACCTACACTATAATACAGTTGATTTTTTTCTTAAAAAAAAAATGTGATAACATAGCCATGGGCTTTTAGAAAGTGATGCCAACTGGTGATACCTCTTACAGATACTTCATTTTATGCATCAAGATATACACATTAAGATACTCCTAAAAGTGACAAAATGCAGAGCATCTTTTAAAAGGCAAGTATCAGGATTAATTTTACAACTTTTAACCTATTTTTTTTTTAAATTTCAATGCTATAATTTGAAGCCAAGCTTTCACTGATTTCTTTTTTCTGGGAAGAAAGCTGGCCTAATGAGTTCCTATCCTGCTCCTACACTGCTTCATCAGTAGTGCCAGCACAACTTAGCACAGAACTATGGAGTGAAATAGAGCAGGTTAAAAGTAACCTGGCCTAGTAACAGTTTCATTGGCACAACTGAGAGGTCAAAAATCTGCAGCCCGAACAATCAAAACTGCAGTAAGGGGTAATGGATTAGATAAAAAGAATGTGCAGGAACAGCTCCTGCAAGTGGTCTCCATTGCCAAAGGAAAAATCTAGATCCATTTCTAGAGTACAAATAGCTTCCAAATTTTTAGGTTCTTTAACTACATTAACACACAAAACGTATTCTAGGAATCCTGCTAGCAGTTGCTCTCAAAGACAAAAATCAACTTCCCCCACTCTGCTAAATATTTCCCAGTGGTGGTGCAGACACCAGTGTAAGAAAAGTAAACCTACTGACAATAGACTTCATCTTCCTCGTTTTTAAAGACGTATAAGCATATATTCCATGCTTAAACACACATTTTCTTAAAGGTAGCCCATGGATCCAATGCAATGCTGAATGCATAGACTCAAAGAAAATGTTGAAACCAGTATTGTAAGGTAAACCATTAAAATTGTGAACAAGGTCTTTAAAACATTTTAAAATAATTCTATAGGCTATATCAAGATATTGTTTTAAAAAGCAAATGCCCGTCTAAAACTAAGCATAGCCATGGAAGTTCATTAGGCAGGCACAAATAACCAACAACCTGCAAAAATACAAGCCCCTAAAACACTATTATAGTTACTAGAAAAGTGATGAACTAAAAACCTGATATAGAGCAGATTAAAAAATGAGAGCTAATTGCCCAAAACAGCAATAAGCTTCTGATGAAGCAACTTCTTTAGCCTTGAGATGCTTCCAGTTTTAAAAGCACTATTTTAGCCATCTTTATCAAGGCAACTAGGTTTAAAAATACCTAGCTTTATTAAATGCCAGTCGTATTTACAACGTCTTTTTTTTTTAAAGTTCAGATTTAAAAGCATTCACATAGAAACAACAAAAAATTATATAAAATTAATAAATTAACACCATAAAGATGGACTGAAATTGGCACTATAGAAAATCATGGTAGATGCAACCACAATAAGACTTAAGAGTTATTGAAAATCCAGTTATCATTTCAAATGGGATTTTGTCTTTTCCACTGTTAAGCTCAAGTGAGCCTTCCAGTACTCAAAACTTCCTTGGATTGGCTTAAAATCAAGTAACTAAAATGAAATTGGTAGTGAGCTTAGAGTGAGGACATTTACGTTAACCAGAAATTTTTCAGACTAGTCCTGTCACCCTTCCATAATAGAATCACAGAATATTCTGAGTTGGAAGGGTCCCACACTGTCCAACTCTTAGTCTTGCACATGACATCCCCAATAATCCCATCATCATGTGCCTGAGAGCATTGACAAAACTCTTGTGGAACTGTAAGGTTTGGTGCTGTAACCACTTCCCTGAAAAGCCTACTCCAGGGCCCAACCACTCTCTGGGTAAAGAATCTTTTTCCAATATCTCCCCTGACACAACTTCAAACCATTTCCTCGGGTCCTGTTACTGGTCACCACAGAGATCAGTGTCTGCCCTTCCTCCTCCCTCATGAGGACTGCCATGAGGGCTCCCCTCAGTCTCCTCTTCTCTAGGCTGAACAGACCCAGGGACCAGCTACTCTTTTTGTGGCTATCATCTGTTACTCGAGTAATTTCCCCCCCATTTTAATAGCTGCATTTCAAATGCTCAGAGAAGTTACCTTATTTACAACACAGATCATACGATGGACTATACAGTGTTGCATTTCTCAGATAATGTCCCACACACGCACATAACTTTCCACCACCTTAGCTGATGAAGGATGTGCAATCCACAGCTCCACCAGGACTGGGAACAACTGGGTTTTAATTGAGGGCTACATTTCTCTAGTAGCAAAGAAACAGTGACCAAGCTGAAAGTGCACCTAAAAATTGTAAAAAAACAAAGCGTAAACCAACTTCCCTCAAACACAAACCTCAGCAGCCAACGCTGCCCTCTGTGCCATGAGAAAGCACAAGCTCCGCCTAGGGAAGGGCAATATCGGCGGTGCCAGCCCGCCAGCAGCTCACGCCGCCGAGCCGCGGTGGTGCCAGGCCGTGGGAGCAGCTGAGTCCCGAGGGCAGCCGAACAGCTGCCGCTCCAGCCTGACCGCCCCGCGTCCCGCCCCCCGCGCCGGGTGACCGCCCGCATTCGGCTCCGGCTGCGGGCTCCGGTTTGGGCGAGGCCCGCATGGCAGAACCGCGGCCGGCGGGGAGGAGGCCAGGCCGCGCCGCACCGCACCGCGCTGCCAGCACCGCTCTTGCGGTTAACGCCCGGGGCCCATGGGTGGCCCCACCCGGCTAACGGCGGGCGGAGCGAGCCCTGCCCGGGCCGCCCTCGAGGGCAGAACCGTCCGGTGCCAGCGGGGCCCGCGGGCGGCTCGCGGGAGCTCTCACAGCACGGGGGCCCCGCTCGGGGACGCCAGGCCGCGCTCCGACCTAAGATGGCGCCGGTCTCGCCAGCGACAATCCCCCCGCGCCTGTCCCCGCCGAGCGCCGCTCCCGCTGCCCGGGGAGCGCGGCAGGGCGGGCCGGGGGCATGGAGCGGGCTGACCTTACCGTGCTGCGTGTCCGTAAGGGCCGCGGTGGGGCCGCTGCTCCCTCCCGCCCGGGCCGGCGGGGGATGGGGCAGCGACAGCTGAGGCGCCTCGCTCACCTCACCGGGGCGCGGCGCCACCTCAGCGCCGCTGCCGCCGGGGGAACGCGGGCGGGAGGCGGGGGCGGCCGCGGCCCCGCGCGCTGCCTGACGGGAACCGCGGGTCGGACACATCGCGGAGCCCGCGATCGGGGCGGAGCCGGGCCGGGGCGGGGCTGGCGCCATGTGCCGGGCCTCACACCCTGGGACGGCACCGCCGCCATGTGCCCGGCCTCAGAGGCTGGTAGAACACCGCCGCCATGTGCCGGGCCTCACAGCCGCGGTAGCAGGAGCTGCTGCTGGGTTTGGGCCTCATGACCCGGTACTGCACTGCTGCCGTGGGCCAGGCCTCATGTCCAGCAACCTCTGCCTAGCCTTGCACCGGCCCCTCACAGCTTTGGTGAGGACACACAGGCCACTGCCATACTGTTAGGGAAACCAGACAGCATCAACAGTGGCTGGGGACTGAACGGATTGAGATCAGCCCTGCCAAGAAGGACTTGCGGGTGGATTCAAGGCTTAACATGAGCCATCAATGCACACTTAAAGTCCAGAAAACCAAATGTGGCCTAGGCTGCATCCAAAGCAGTGTGGGCAGCATGGGAGGGAGGGGATTCTGCCCCTCCACTGTTGTGAGGCTCCACCTTGAGTACTGCATCTATTTCTGGGGTCCCATCACGGGAAAGACATTGACCTCTTGGAGCAAGTCCAGAGAAGGCCACCAAATTGATCAGAGATACAGAGACCTCTGCTACGAGGAAAGGCTTGAGAGATTTGAGATTGCTCAGCCTGGAAACAAGATTTCAGAGTAACCTAATTGTAGCCTTTCAGTACCTGAAGAGAACTCAAAGGAAAGATGGGGCAAACTATTTACCAGGAGCATGTAGCAACAAGGCAAGGCAGAATGGGTTCAAATTGAAAGAGAGTAGGTTTCCTTTAGAGAGTAGGTGTGGACTGGATATTAGGGAAAAAATTCTTTACTGTGAGGGTGGTGAAGCTCTGCAACAGGTTGCTCAGGGAAATTGTGGCTGTCCCATCTCTGGACATGTTAAAGGCCAGGTTGCATGGGACTCTCAGCAACATAGTCTCATTTTCTGTGTCCCTGCTCACAGCAGGAGGTTTGGAACTAGATGAGCCTTAAGATCCCTTCCAACCCAAACCGTTCTAAGATTGTATGCTCTATTACCTAGGAACCACTCTGGCTGTCACATTCACACCACTTGAGCTAGGACCGAAGCCTCTTTGGAGCTGCACCTCTCACACTCATACAGACCAGATTTCCTTACCAGCTCACAGATTTTATATAGCAATGTTTCAGATGTCCTGATCCTTAAAATACTTTAATCATAGTGTAGTAACTAAATCATAAAATAGCAGCTCGAGCAGGGTACCTCTCAGGAGGGACCCCTGGGTTTTTATACCCTCACAGTCTAAGGGCACGAAAGTCTGGAGTCGTTGGCTCCTGCCACGTCTGTGTGTGTCCCTCACCTGGAAGGGCCGCAGGCCCTTTGTTGTGCCAAGGATCGGCCGTTAATGGCTTTTCGCCTGAGCTCTCCTGCTCGCCCAGAGCTGAGCCTGCAGCTCCAATTGCAGCTGTCCCCGGAGCTGCCAGTACTTCAAAAACACGTCCCGGTCGCGGGCGGGCCGCAGGGCCCAGCACGGTCCCCCTCAGCGGGACCCCGGGCGCAGGCCCGGCTCGTTGAGCCGGCGGTGCCGCCGCGGGGCAGCCCGGGGGGAACGGGCAGGCCTTTCCCTGGGGGGCAGCCCGGGGGGAACGGGCAGGCCTTTCCTGCGGGGCGGTCTGGGGGGCGAGCATGCCTTTCCCTGCGAGCAGGCCCTTCCTTCGGGGCAGCCCGGGGGGCGGGCAGGCCTTTCCCTGGGGGGCAGCCCGGGGGGAGCGGGCAGGCCTTTCCCGTGGGGCAGCCCGGGGGGCGGGCAGGCCTTTCCCTGCGGGCAGGCCCTTCCCGCGGGGCGGTCCGGGGGGCGGGCAGGCCTTTTCTGCGGGGTAGCCGAACGCCAGCATGTAGAATTCCCTACAGCCCTGTGGCCCAGCAAAGTCAGGGCCAGCTGTGCCCAGAGCTGACATCGAATACAGACAGCGGGGAATATAACACACAGCGTGCTGGTGCAGTCAGTGGAGCAGCACAGATACTAATGCTGTTCAGACTGAAGGTTCGTTGTGCACCTGTGTTCTCATTTACCCGCTGAGTTAAATATCAGTCAAATACACGATCAACCCTTCTAAAGATTTATTGAGTAAAACATTCTCATTACTTTCAGTGGGATGTTGCAGAACTGCTGGTAGACAGCCTCACCCGGGCGATGGAAGCACAGCTGCTGGAGAAAGCAGTCCTGCAGCACTGCACCTACAAGAGCCGTGGTTTCACTCGCCTCAGAATTTGCATACGAAAATCTCTGCTTCGAAAGGTGACGAAGTAATGCAGTTTTCTCGTGCAATCTCACCCTGGCCAACAAGAATGCACCAGAGTTTGAATTTGGTTTGGTTTGTTATTTTTCAGTTTTTCTCTCCATTATACACTAATTAAAAAACTCCAAAAAGAGCAAAAATCCCCCAACCAACCAAAAGACCCACCAACCAAGCAAAAGCTTTTTAAAAAAACAAAAACCAAAGCACAGAAACAAAACAAAAGCAAAAACCCAACAAAGTAACAAAACCCAAACAAACCAAAACAGGCCCCCCCCAAAAAAAAACCCAAAAAAAACAAAATAGCAGAAATAGGCCCCCACCAAAGTATGATCCCTTAGTGAAATATGAAAATATTTCTGGTGATTTTTGAAGATAAGTAAGAGGAAAATACTTAAACATGTCATTATATTGCAACTTTTTCAGCCCATACTTCTCACAACTTATTGTTGTGCTATCTGCCACAGCTGCCTTCAGAAATACGCAGTTTATTTAGTGTAAATTCTCTCTCAACCATAGGTATATTTTCAGATGAATGAGTGAAGTGTGCTTCTCGTTGTGACCTTAAGCGCTAAGAATTTGAATACTGTGTTTATCCTGGAAAATATTCTATTCATTTTAACTAATATCTTTAGCCTTGAGATGCTTCCAGAGTAGTTTGGAACCTTAGAGAAGTGAAGGAAAAAAACTCATTAGTAATTAAATAATTGCTGCTTAGTGATTATGTCATTAAATCATTTGGTTATTATAATTTAATAGTTAAACAATTACTAAGCTGTGCCCTTCTGCCAAAGAAGGATGAAAAAAGAGAGAAAGAAATATTCTTAATATTAGGCAGAAAATTGAGCAAAAGGATGGGAATCATAGTAGAGCTTATTCTAAGCAGAAGTGACTGGGAAATAGTCCATTTACTTGAAACACGTATTTTCAACTATTAATTTACCTACTGAGAAATCATTGCAGGTGTTCATGTTCCTTCTAAGGCAAGATAAACATAAAGAGAATGTTAAGATTGCAAGGTAAAAACATTGAAAATTGTGAAATAACAAACCCACAATCTACTCTGTACATTTTCGTAATTAAATTTGTGCATTCCCATGGTGCACAATTGCATGCTGTCTGTTCTGCAAAACCCTAAGTCTTTGGACAAATTGGTGTGAATGTCTCACACCATCCCACAAAGGCATAGGAGCAAACCAGAATTTATCAAGTGACAATAAGCCTTCATAACTCTAAAACACAAATTAATAAAGAATAGGAAATAGTCCCCATAATTACTAAAGAATTACTGGGAGAACTGCAAACACACTTTAAAGAAAAACTTAGCAGAAGCTGATAGGAGAGAACCATTTCATGCAGTTAGGCAGTATTCATGCACTGCTGACTGTAGCAGTACAGCTAAGCTTGAAATCTAGCTAGTCTGAATTACTTCATCTGTTATTACAGTCTACTGGCCTGAGACTCAGTTGCTAAAGAGACATTCCTTTGCCTGTAGAGAGGTATTGACAGCAGCCTCTCATCAGTTTCTGGGTTTTGCCTTAAAAAGCACAATCTGTGCCAGAGAAATTGATTGATTGCTGTATCCCTCAATGGTATAAACTCCTTTTATTCCTTGTTGCAGGTTCAAAAAACTGGTGGAAGCACTACTAAAATACTGTGACAAATACACCTAATGATGATTTTTTATTATTGTTTTTATTTTAAACTCTACTAAACTGCATGTTGTGTCTAGTCACTATTTGAATGTGATCTGGGAATCAGAGGGCATCTAGTCCTGATTTTGTATGTCAGTAAAACACCTGGAGCAGAGTGGGGAGGTCTTGCTGATTAGCACTGAAGTTTGGGTTTGTTTAATGTTGTTTGTTATTCCTTGAGGCATGAGACACAGACAGCAAGTACCAACCCGTATGAAATTGCAACTGGAGCTACTGCCAAAGCTCCATTAGAATAGATATGTTCAGATGGGAAGCCTGTAACTGTGAATGCACAAACAGATACTAAATTAACATCTGCAACACAAACATTATTCAACACGTGTATGGTTACTCATTTATTCCATAAGGTACACTTGTAAAATTGATTGCATTTAGTCTGCTGTGGTTTGTTCTTACAGTATCATACCTTCAGGAATTTGGCACAAGTATAAACACTGAGGGGTGATCTAATGTGTTTATGAGGTTATTTTGTAATGCTTGTTAGGCACATATAATATGTTTATAGTGTCCTTTTCAAGACAATATGAAAACTCTCAAGTATGCAACCCTCAAGAAAGTGTAAGCTTCCAGTCTTTAAAAGTATGCTTCTGTAAATTAAGGAAAAAACCCCAACTCAAACCATAATTTGCCTTTTTAAACACTTCCAACATATCATTGTGCAGAATAATAATAAAAAATTAGCATCTGGGAGAGCCAGTATCTCATCAGCATGTATGTATTTCTCCTGTCAACATTACCCTAACTCGCCAGATGAAAACACAGTCTAAACTGCTTGAAATTGAAAGAAATTTATGAATTGGATGAGCTGTATCAGAGTGAAAATGGCGACAAAG